ACTGCCGAATGAAGCTTTCCTGTGGTCAAGCTGATCACCGATCCGCTGCCCTTGCTCTGGGACCAGTGAATGGCCAAGCCTCGGCTGGCGAACAGCTGGCAAAGATCGTCAAAGATCTCAAAAGTTCTTCGCGTGCTCCAAGTCGAGCCCTTCGCTGGTGGGATCGCATCCTCCGGGGCCGGGGAAGAAGACCTCACGCAGACCAAATGCTAGAAGGTCGCGAGGCGGCACGAGGCGCTTCACACAACCTGAGGCCGACACCTGCTTGATGTGCTTGCTTCGCAGCAAAAAGTTTACGACCTCAGGCGAAGAATACGGTGAGAGCAGTGGCAGCAGGTTACGCAATGGCTTGCAAAGGTCTCCAGCTCGACGTGCATTTTGCTGAGCACGCTCCACTCGCCTGGGCACACTTCAGCTTGAGCTTTGAGTCTGAGTCTGGTCGGCCTGCCTCGATCTTCGGAGGTCTGGATACCGAGGTTCAGACAAGAACATGGTCTTGATGCCACGAAGGAAAAGGAAGCACCTGAGTCAATAAAACATGCGTACAATCGATTTCTCATCAAGGTCAGAAACAACGTGCACGGCGAAGCAGAGCGAGCGTGCGTGCCGATGGAGTCGGAACTGAGAGCAGGTCTCAAAAGGAGCCAGAGCTGTGCCTTCTGCATTCTGAAGGAAAGCCACACGATGAGCCAGCTCCTGAAGCTCACAAGCACAAACAGAAGCTCAAAGACTGCGCTTGGGACCCACGTAAGATCAGAGATCCCGACAGGATGGCGCACGCACACGAGGCCACCGGTGCAGTCAGCATGGCCCGAGAAGAACTTCGTAGCAGAGTGAACCACGATGTCAACGCCTGCGCATTTCATGTGCCCTCGTATGTATGGTCAGTCGCCGGAGCTTCTCCTGAGGTGCAGGCCCAGGGTGAGTGGCTTGCAGATCACTGGCGGCATCATGGTGCTGTCCACGCTGACAAGAATCCCGTGCCTGAGGTGTCGGGGTTTACCAGCGAAGTGTTTAACGACTTTACTCCCTGCCACCAGAAATGCATGGCGGCTGCAACTAACATCGTGGTGCGGTTTTTAGCCCTGTCATTGAGTCTCCAACTTGTGAGCAATAGCACAAACGCCCCTAATGTCTGTGATGCGCATTCTGGGATTCGACCTTGGCCCCACCATTCACAAACACACAGAAACATAGCTGCAGCTACTGGCCTGGACAGCGGATGGTCAGTGATGCTCAGTTCCGAACGGACTTTCCAAGTGAATGAGTCGTGTCTTGGGAGTAATGGCCTGATCTGGAAAGCTGGTGATGCTTGCGACGCCGGCGCAAAGGGACGCTAGAAAGCTTGGCCTTGCTCAGGGCGTTGAGATCTGTGGTGTCCACAAACTTGACCTCAAAGAGCTAAGTGCTCCGAAGAAAACTCCAGGAATACACCAAGAACCATGTGAAATCCGCCGAGGCCTCGGGCCGAAGGTGTATAGGTTGTCAGAACAGGCACCCCCTTTTTTTGCTTCAAATGGGTACCCCCCCTAGGAGAGGAGGGTCCGCAAGCGGATGTCTCGCCAGGACCAGAGGCAGTTGCAGCCCATCCCAGGGCGCCCCCGGACCCTACCCCCCCCCCCCCCCCTACCCCCCCCCTACCCCCCCCCCCACCCCCCCCCCACCCCCTACCCCCCCCCTCCCTTTTTTTCACCCTTCCTGGGTCAGAAGCAGACGGTTCGCCAGGACCAGAGGCATTGAAGCCCCGCCGTGTGTTCACCGCCCCCCTTTCCCCCCCACCCAACCCCCCCCCCCCCACCCCCCTCCACCCCCCAGCCCCTCCCCCCCCCCACCCAACCCCCCCCCCCCCCCCCCACCCCCTCCCCCCGCTTACTGGCCCCCCCCCCCTCCCCCCTACCCCTCCCCCTCCCCCCACCCTGCCGAAGAGTCGCCTTAAACCTTAAGGGCCTGGCTCAACCCTACGATCACTCCAAGCCGAACCCTAAACCCAAAAAACCCTCAACCCCAAAGCGTGACCCTTGAGCCCTAAACTAACCCTCAACCCCAAACCCCAAACCATAAACCATAAACCCGGAACCCTCAACCCTCAACCCTCAACCCAACCCTTATTGCTTGGGGTCCAGCGACTTGGGCGCTGCGGAATCACCATGCTCACGCGGGTGCGCTGGGCCGGGCCGAGGCGGGTCGCGTAGCGTCAAAATTAAGGGCAAGAGGCATCGATGCCGCTGTTTGTACAGTCCTGAAAACACTCACACCGCACAGCAACAATCCACGTAAGAAAGGAACTTCGCTTCTGCTGAGGGCCCTATGCAGTGACACTACACTCACTACGCACGTACACTCCGCTCCTGTGTCAGGAGTCTGTGCATGCCGCCGTAGATGTCCTCGTTTGCAATCACCTTCCAAGGAGTCTCGGTGAAGTTTCGGCTCTGGCCCTGTGACGTTCCTGCCCAGCCTGGTCTCCGTACTTCAGCAAGCGGGTCACGGTGTGGAGAGCCTGGGATCTGGGCGTACGAAGCGAAAGCAGTTCTAAGCCGCTGCCTCGATGAGCCTTTTCCTAGCGCTCCTCACAGAGCACTCCTCCTCGCAGCGTTCTCCAGATTTCTCCAGGCTCCCGACGGCCATGCCCGATGCAAATGCAAAAGCAGCTGCTGCCTGGGCCAGGAACATCTACTGTTTGCGCCGGTGCCGTGCTCAAAAGCAACATTCCATTCCACAGAGGCTGTAAAGAAAAACAGCCCAAAGCAGCCTGCTCCAGCATTGCCACATGTTTCTCCAATGCTGTCCTGCTCAGCCAAGTGTGCCATGCGAGCGGTTTACTTCAACCCACCAGGCAGCTACTTTCAGAGCTGAAGCTTCGCAAGCTTCGCAAGCTTGCAAGAGCCCAATATATCGAGCTAACGAGAGCTGCCCATAAGCTTCTGGGCCCCAGTTCCAAGCCGGGCCTTGTGGGATTGCCGGAACGGGAGTAGTCGTAGGGCCCAAACTCACTCGAAGACCTCGGATGCTTCTCGCGTCATGGAGCTTGCATAATTGCGGTCTCCGGTGCAAGTCATCCAAATCCCAAAAGAGGGTCATCGTGAGCATCGGCATTGTTGGGAGCGAGTGCCCTCTCTCTCATTCTCGCTCTCACTCTGAACCCCAGCGGCTTAGTCACCCATACAAGGAAGCACCAAGATGCTTCGAACGTTAGTTAGCACTTCATTAACGTATGCACATCACGGGGCTAGTGGGCGTGGCCCGCATGTCAATTGGCATGACCGCCACCTTCCCCTTCCTACGCAGACCTTCCCATCAAAGACAACATGCTCTTCAGAGCTAGGAGTACGATCCGCCAAGGCGCGGCTGCACGAAGGTGGCCGTCTGGTAGATCGGTGTGTTGGACGGATGATATGGGTCCTGGCTTGTCTACTTCTACCTGTTTCCCGGCGAACGAATGCGCTGCAAAGCAATGTTCTGGCGGCATGGTCCTCAGGACATCCATCAAAAACTACGCACTGCGACGCAGGTTGAAGCTCATTCTTGAAGCCTGGCACTCTCAAGAGACTACTATGCCATGTATGCCGTGCATGTGGCTCTAGGGATATATCTATACATATATGTGGCTGTACAAGGGGCTATTTGCAACCTTCTGGTCCAGATACAGAGACAGCACCACTACAGGGCACCCCCCCTTCATGCATTGCTCCCTTCATGTTAGACATTCAAGCAGAAACAGCAGATTCAAGCGAGGGTTGTGCTCAAACGCCGCTCACGCGCTTGAAAAGGCCTGCGAAGTTTGGTCTGATGGGAAACGTTGGTAGGTCGTCATAGTCGCACTGTTGCCTTGTTGACTACTAAGAAGATCGGCTAAGCCCACACCACTTGCGCTGGCCACCAATGTGTGAACTAAAGCAGCCAAGGCAAGAGCTCACTCAAGTCGAATCGCACGTCCGTGAAGTTGAGCCTGGGTCGCAAAAGGATGCTCTCAGAAGAGCAGGATAGAGCAAATGCTGGGCAAGTGATCTTGACGATTCACACGTTCAGTGCCCGGCTTATCTCCGATTGTGCTCTGCGCCTTCTTCCGCAAAATAGTCTGCTCGTCCTGTGTGCCGAAAGGAAGTCTGCAGCACACCGGAAGCATATGGAGATCGGAAGCTCACAAGACTGCCACCTCTTGCTCATCCTGCTCTTCCACAAGAGAGGTCAAGTCCTCGGAACCACCCGTGTCGCCGTCTTGCGGTGCCCCATGGTGAATCGACTGCTGGGCCGTGGGCTGACATCGACCTCTCCTTCTGATAAAGCCTCCATACCTCAGACTGCACACTGTAGACACTGTAGAGATCTTATCATGTCAAAGCTCCCAGAGGTCATTGTAGGCAAGTGTAGGGTGCTCGCAGCATTCTCCAATCGACGCGCATCCATCGCATCGGATTCTATCTTCAGCATGTCCTTCAGACTCAGAGGCTCAACATGGCTCAACTCTCAGAAGCAGTCGGGAATGGAAAATTAATTCAAGCACATTGACAAAAGCTACAGGGCACAGCAAACGCTGTCCTGGCATGACTTACTTCTGGGGCCACCAAAAGGTTCACAGCAAGACATTGCGACCACAGCAACCTCAGGAACGGGCCATGGCAGTCAAAGGCAAGTAACAAAAACTCTGCATCACACCACATGGACTGGATGTGGGCCGGTGTGGCCCTAACTTGAGGCTCGTCGTCTGTAGCCGTTTAACACAAAAGATGCCGAAACATGGGTGGAACTACAGATATTCGAAAGACATCCATACTTGTCAGGGTGCTTAGCTAGGCCTGAGTTCCGAGGCGAGGCGCTTCGTAAGGCGAACTGCCGGACCACAAAATGCGCAAACAAACAAAACCAAACAGCAGAGGCTTGAACCCAAAGGGGCCCGCACAGAACAATGAAGGACAGATATGGGACAGTGCAATACTGCAGGGGACATCTGCAGTCAACGCACGTGGTCGGCTGCGAATGCGCGAAGTGAGCTCACTGCAAGCCTTCAGTGCAAGTTCGCCAGCTTCCTTGCGGCTCTTCCCCGCTTTGATAGCCTACGGGCAAGACTCCAGCAGTCACATGAGACATGCTGCCACGTGCTCAAGTCTCCTTCCAGTAAGGCCAGTCCCTACCCAGGCTTCTGCAAGCGGCAAATCGACGATTGCACACCACCTTTTTTCTCCTGCTCTCGGCGCTCACTTGTCACAGCTTCCGCAGCCTCCCAGGGTCACGCAAGTCGCTCGGTTCACAATCTAAGCTTGAGATCTGAGGTTGCCAACTCTGTCATGAACTCACATGATTCACGGAACATCATAGAGCCGTTTTCGCCACTGTAATGTTTTGTCAGAAGAGCAGGATAAAACCCCTCCCCCCCCCTCCCTCCCCTCTCCCCCGTTTTGCCCCCCTCCCTGCAAAGGTCAAGTGCCTCTATGAATCTTGTAGGAGGCCTGGAATCAAAAGGGCCAGGCTGTTTAAACCATGGCCGGCCCAAGCTCTTGAACGCGGCGCCGTTTCACTGGCTTTGCTGGCCTAGCCGTTGGGGAATTTGACCGCCAGGCTGCTTGTTAATATGGTCGTCAAAGAGAACCCACGATTTCCGTGCTCAGACAGACTAGGCAGGGCCCTTACGTACGAACCTCAAAATCTCATTCCGATTATTCCTGGGGTATTTGCTGCTACTTCGCGCTATCCTGTGCCGGTTTGCAGATCGGAGGTTACCATTGCACGCCCACTCGGACGCATAGTTTCCTAAATCGTCTAATCGTCTGTAACCGGCCTGGGCTCTGTTCTGTGAAAGCTCTCATCAGGCTGTTGAGAGTTCGCCGGCTTGTGAACCAAGACGAGGGCTTTCTGGTCCGCGCACCATCTTTGAAATGAGACCAGAAAAACATCATCAGAAAACCAGATGGACACTCCATTCCATCAGACAATGCTCGGGATCTCGTGACCAGAAACATTCAGGAACAAGGAGACATGAGATCAGATAACGCGGCCTGCCAGCAAAAAACAGGGACTATGATGTCTCTCGTTGCGGGACCACAAAACAGTCTGACAGGAAACTCCTCAGAAAAGTCCAAAACCCGACCTCCTCAAGTTGTTTCACAGACACTGAGGTTAATGTTCAGGGTGATCTCAGGATTCATTGACTCACACTAACCTCTGCATTGCTTTGAAGAGAGACAATAGGGGCGACAAATGATCTGAGGGCAAAGGCTTTTGCCTTCTTGCCCGCCATGTTTCTCTGCCCTCTCTGTTGACCGACATGTCGATGCTGACCGGCAATAATGTTCTCTGATCTACTTCCTGTCGGTCTCTGTTTGTTGCCTTGTTTCTGATGACGTCTCCTTATACTTTCTCTCAGCATTGAGTAGCTTGTCTGCGTCTCGACCCAGTCGCAGAAGCCATTGCTCATAATATGTGCTCCACCTAGCCCAGCTTTGCCCGACAAGCTGAATGTCCTCTGCGATGGCATGACCAGGGCATGAGGAAATGTGCAGGCCTGTTGCGTGCGTGAAGTTCAAACGTAATCTGCAAGTGGATCACGAAGGTGTAACTTCAGTGACGCGAGCTGGCTCCATCTTGTCGGCCTGCAGGCCAGGTGCTGTATGAATGGCGCACCATGCATGCACCTTGATGAAGCTTCCTGCGACACGGGCAGCATGAAAATGTGGACATAAGTAACGCTAGGATCAGAAAGGAGGCCTTCGATGCATTGGTGAACTTGTCGATGATCGACCTCGCTTGAGCAGTCTTGCTTTGCAGTGCTAGGGCGTACCAAAAAAGCAGTACCATCAAAGTGCTCGAAGAATCAAAGAATGGAGAGAACACGAGGCCCCAACTTCCCATACAGCGGTGCAGAGCCCAGCAGGGACGGAAGCGGTGTGGAGCCCAAGAGCGTCGGGAGCGGCTTGCAAATGTCAGTATCTGCCTGCGCCTGACCAAGAGCAGAGCAAGGACAATTGAAAACGACGACACCTGGGATTCATCAGTAGACATCTACAGCACTTCTGCCACTTCTGCTGCGACGTGAAAACGGCCGGCGGCTCCTGCTGCTCATCGTCAGCAGTGCTGTTGTCGCCGTCGCTGAGTCCAGCCTTCAAAACATGCATTCATGGGCTCTACATCTGCATTTGTTGTGCAAGCAACGAAAGGACACGCTTGGACACCACAGATCACCACGCTTGGACACCACAGCATGGACATCACAGTGACCTCCTTGTCTGGCAAGTGCTGGATCTCGTCTTCGTCTTCTGTGGAGGAGGGGCTGGCAGATGCCTCGACGGTTTCAAAGCCGAGTCCAACTTTGCAAGACCTCAAAACATCAAGCAGATCAAGCAGCCTCTTGTCTTAGGGGCCGAGCTGGGGATGTTGGGAACGGCGGAGGCAGGCCTGACAACCTGGGAAGAAGGGTGTAGGTTGGAGTTTTGGGCGCATGGTCTGAAGCCTCGTGGGCTCCTGCCTCACAACTCGCTCTCACACCTTCTTTCATGCTGAGCTGGAAGCGAACTACTAAGATCGGGTTCTGTAACCTGCCGCCAGGCTCAAGCTGCTCAAGCTGCCCACGTTCCAAAAAATGCAAGGCTAAACATGACGTGCCTTCATTGGCTGGCGGCTCAAGCCAGGTGGCCTAAGCTCCACAGGTGCTTCGGTGCTTCCATCATCATTTTAGAGCTTCGAATAGCTTGGGAGTGTTGCGAAGAGCTGAGCAGGCTGCGGGGCAAAATGAATTCCGGGAGGTTTGCGGCCACTCTCAAGACCGGGAGGTGCACCTCGGCGGCTTGGGGGCCCACGGGGTTCCGAACGTTGCAAGATGTTGTAACTCATAAAACTTTTATGATACAAGTCATAACAAAAAGAAACGCTCGCTTTTTCCGAGTTTATAGGAGTATGGCGCCACTGTGAGCCCATTGGGGGTGACAACACCTCCTGCAACGTTCGCCCTCTCATTCTGGAGCCACCCCCACTGGCCGTTGTCTTGCAGCTCGGCGGGCTATGACAAGACGCAAGGCGAAGGCACCAAGGGAGCTACTTGCAGTTGCTTTGCGCTTCAAGGGCTTAAAGGGGCTGTTTGAAATCAAAATTGCAGCGAATGTAGCGACCACGGAGCACAAGAGTGGCATCCAAGCCTTGTCTCTGCGATTCTCTTAGTCTTGGGCCAAGCTTTTTCTTGCCCTTTTGGCCAAGGAAGCAAGGTACCTGCAATTCAAGTGAGATCTAACCGAATCTAACCATAGCAATCCCACTAGAACTGCAAGCATGCCAGCCAAACCGAAATCTTTACCTCTCCATTTGCTGGACCGGTGGTCACTTTGATCTCCTTTGCCAGATTTGGCACACCATTCTGTTAGAGAGACTCAGAGAAAAGAAACCAGCGCAATGGTCCTCGGTTGATAAGATGACTCCTGGCAAAGCCATGGGATTGGCGCAGAGCATAGCTTGGCACTGCAAGTTGCGTCCTGAGTCAGCTTTGGTCTTGGAGAGCGCCGCCTGACAGGCTCTCAATCATGGCACCCCGCGGATACATCTCTTGTCCAACTGTCGAACTGGAGAACTGGCTGAGCACGCTGCCTTCTCTGACCTTGAGAGCGCATCGCGAACAAGCCCAAACGCAGACAAGAGACTCACAGCTGTGTGGTTCGGGGGCATCAAGCCCAAGACAATTTGGGCACGCATTTCTGCACATCGGCCTGGCATCCACCGACGATTCAAGCAAGTCTTAAAGACTCAAGGAGCACAAATCTTGGTGACCGTCGAAGTCAGCTGAGAACTGGGCCGTGCCACCAGCCTTCTGCGGAACGGTAGAAAGAAGCGGCCTTAAACAGGATGCCCAACACACTTCTGAAACTGCGAAGACGTGGCATTTTCAGAACAAGTCATTGGTAAGTGGACCTGCGACTGCGCCATTTCCTGTCTTCCGGTTTTCGCTGAGCTGCGGGCATTGCTCGGACTAATTTGCTTAGGTGTTCAGGGTCACCAGATGGCCTGCACAATCGACTCCCTTGCCTTGCTCTTAGTTGTGGCCACGCGATAGCAAAGCATAGCAAAGCACATCAAGCACAGTGCCTTGGGCAAAGGCGCCCTGTACACTGCAATTGAGCTACACTTTTGGCAGCTGTGCCAAGCACCTCAGGCTGACATGCACGGCAAGTCAGTAAGTCGTCGGTCAAGGAGCTGTAAAGTGCGCAAGTGCACGAATGGACGATGTTGAGGTCTGCGCCCAGCAATCGGTTGATGCTGAAAAGCTGTGGGTTAAGCCAAATGTTGCAGATAGATCCGCATACACATCCATACTACACATATCCACATGCACACATTGCAGACCATACCGACGCCAGCTAGTTTATCGGAAATACGGCTAAGCACATACTGACGGCCATGGCGCATTAGGGCTTGCAAAGTCTTGAAGCTACGCATGAGGGCAGCAAGCCTGCTCGGCAACAGCGACCATGGCTTCTCTTTCGGCGACCACCGTGGCCTTTCAAACTTGTTGGATGGGCCAAGACTAGCTCTGACTTGCCACGCAATGCTACGCACATCTCCGTCTTGAAGTCCGTTTTGAAAGCAATGACGCACTCGCCATGGGATTTGTGCGACCTCATTGAGCTCTGTGACATTGTCTGCTTCTCGCTTCAGCTTCCTCTGCTGCCTGCGAGGAGAGAGACAACACTGAGACAACATGAGACAACGACCACACTGCAAAGCTCTGCAGCAAAGGCCCGAACGCTACATGAGCATCCCATCGTTCCTGCTCCTCCTGGCGAAGGCGGTGCCTCAAACATCGCGGTAAAACTGTGCTGACCTGTCCTCCGTCTTCTCGATTTCTCTGGCCCACTCCTGGACACGAAAAGATCGGGACGGTCTTCGCAACAAGGGCTTACACAGGCTGCATCGGCCTTGTTCGATGGTTCCCTGAAGAGACCTTCTCTGAAGGCATCGATGGCCTCCTTTGGGGAAACAGCTGCGAGAGGTCAATGACTCGATGGTCTCTCGTGAGGCTCGTGCCTCCCACTGCTTGAGGCCTCGGTGCGCCTGGCCAAGTCTGAAGTATGCCTCGCAACTTGCCGATGCTTGCCAGGCTTGCAACCGTCGACAAAAGAATGCGAAGATGACGTGATGTGACCGGACAGCTGTACAGCTGCACTTGTGTACTTGTGTGCTCGATGAGATGCCTTGGGCCAGTCCGGCTTCAGCGACACGCATCGCTTGGCATCTGCCAGGGCCTGACGCCGCTCAGAGTGAAAGCAGAAGGTATCCGTTGATGGCACAGGTGCACGGGCTCGCAGCGCGCACCTTGTCAAACTTCTTCAGCTTAACATAACACGCTGATCGGTTCGAGAATAGCCTCGCTGTCGACTTAGAAAGCTGCAGCTGGCTAAGCCGACGAAAAAGCACAAAAGTTTTGGCCACGGCCGAACAGCATGAACGGCCCAACAAAAGCCCCCCTGTCATGTCATTAACACTCTTCAGGCGAGGGCTTCTCTTCCTCTGGCGTCTGGTTCAAGGCGCGCGTGTAGTACACCTGGGCTCGTCGTGACTTCGACTCTTCGTGAAACAGCATGTCAAGGGGCGCACCGCTGCATCACGCCAGGCTGAATTCCTGAAGCATCCATCTGCCTCAATGAGCAGAACATTGGGATGATGGCTGGGTTTGGCATCACGGGCATATCACGCGGCTTTACTTGCACATGCCTGCAAAACCCATAAAACCCCTGGCAAACCCCACAAAACCCTCGACCGTTTTGAGAGCCTCCTTTGCACAAGAGACTGGAATTCCTGCGGAGACTCTCTGTTGGGGGAAAGCCGTGTGGAAGAAACTCCTCAAAAAAAATAAGAGAGATTTGAAAGGAGGAGCTCTCTCTGCAAAGGGCTCAGTGCCTTGGCTTTGAAGTCTTGCGCCAGCTCCTGGAGGTTCGTGGACTTTTCTAAAGAATTAAAAACTCAATGGTAACTAAATAAATATACGTATATATATATGGAAGAATTGCATGGACATCTGTTCAACAGACCTTTAGAGGGTTCAGGGGTGAGGCGGGTTCAGGGTTTCAAGGGCACAGGCGGCACAGTGGTTTCAAGGGCTTTGGGGCTCAAGGCTTTAGGGGTTTAAAGGATCTACTGTCGGGTTCAGTGCATCTCGAGCCTAACCCCCCCAAAAAACGCGCTTTACCTTTACGGGTTGAGAGCTCATGCCCTAAGCCCCGCAGCAAGGGCCGAGTCCTTTGGAGACCAGCTGCTGCGATCCGGGGAGGGCGCTCGAAGCGCCTTCGCATGCAGGTCCTCCCGGTGGTTTTTGCGGTTTCGGGCTTGCATGGAAAGCCGGAAGAAGAGCCCGATATGGCCCGGTCTCAGGTTGCCGGATTTCAATAAGCGATGCTGTCGGAATGTGCGCCCCCTGCCTCAATCTGAGGCGCCGCTTCTCTCTGTAGGACAAGCCTTGCGAAATCTAAGCATGGAGTTCCGCTAACCTACGTTGGAACCGACATGGATCCCCTAAGCATTCGGCTCATTCTCCTCCAGCAGCTGCGGCCTCGACCCGGCAATTGACTCATCAGGGCAAGCCAATGTCATGGTCAAACAGCTTCGGTCATCTTAGCTCCAAGCCAGTGCTTCTTGGAAGGCTTTGCCTTCGTGAGCGTCACCTCACACAACTCGCGCACAGTACAGGCCACAAGTGCTGCGCTTGCGCTTAGATTGCGGTTAAGATTCACCTGCAAGCACGTGTTGTACTGCGCAGACTTCCTCACTGGCGACCTGCAGAGTCAGCTGGACATGTGGGACGGAGACTCGTGGACAAGGCACTCACACAACAGAAGACGATACTTTCCTCGAATGTTGTCTTGCTTGAAATGCCGCCTACTAAAGAAGTCAGGAAAGGTCCATAGATAGTTTGTGATGCATATGTTAAATTTCGAGCAGACTTTACGCCAGCTTCCGCGATCAATACCAAACACCACAGGTCTTCTGCTCCTCCCCCTGGGGCAATGCTCAGCTCGGAGCTCTTCTTCCACGGGAGCTGCTGCCTGCTCAAGCATCACGTCATCACACGAACGATGATGAACGATGCCTACTGGCATCATGGGAGCGCGACGCCTTGACGATGTCCCAGCGTGTTTTGTCAGGAACAACCTTGTCAAAGAGCTGCCCCTGCAAGCCATTGCAGAAAAGCCAGTGCAGAAACAAATGAAGAACCCAGCAATGCAATCACTTCGTCCGGAGATACATGGCAGCAGCACCATCAAAATTGGAGACTTTTCATCTCCTCTGATGAACACTTTGAAGTACCTGGAGGAGCACAGCGCTTGGATCGCAGCAGAGGCACTGGGCGCAGAGTTTCGGGGCAAACTGCATGGGGCACTGCTCCATGACGTCCACTCCAAACAAGTCGGCGAGGCATGTGGTCTCACATGCCTGCAGGAAAGCTGCGCATCTGACATCGGGTCTACTTTTCTCCGGACCTGAGCAGCTTCTCACCATGTTCAAAAAAGTCATTCACCCTTGATCGCCCTTTTCCATCGTTTCGCTGGTAACGCCTTCTCCATGGAAGCCTTGTCGAGGTGGATTCGAAAGATAGCTGTCTTGTCGTCCTGAGGCTCCAAGTTGCAAACTTCGGGAAGTTCGGGTCGCGAATTGACAGGTCCCGGCCTGGCCATCTTCCAAGGCAGAGCAAAGATCCTCCCGCCGAACCACAAAAGAGTCCTGCGGAGAGGGGACCATCCCACGGCACATGCGGCACATGCCTTGGATCTGCTGTCCTGCTTTCTCTGCAGATGGCCGGGCTTTACCTTGCGCAAGAATCGGCAGATACAGCTTGAAGGAGCACATGAAGGATCACAAGAAGGAGCTCGCCTTGACCAGCATGTCTTCCGCCTTCTTGACGGATGTGCGGGCTGCAGGAGTCCAGTCGAAGTGGCTCCTGTTCACCACACAGTTCTGCACAGCTCGTTTGGAGTCATGAGACGCCACGAAACTAGCACCGAGGCGGGCACTTGCGGTGGTGGCTGAGCCCTAGTTTCCAAACCTTTGGCACATCAACGCAACACGTGCGCGCATTTCAAGCGCAGTTAAAGCGTCTAGATTCTGGAGGTACCAGATTCCTCAGCTTTGGGCGGCATTCCAAGCCTTGCGCGTGCAGTATCCTACATCCCTTTTTTCATGACTTAAGTAAAATCATACTTGATCAGCAGCATTCCCAAACCAATGAGACCGCGTGCAACGCGCCTTGTGATCACGCTTGGCCAGCTCTATAGTGAGGACATTCGCTCCGTCCTCCATGCAAAAAGAAACGACTCGTACTGAATACGGCCGTGTAAGGCCTTAGAGTCATAGAGTGTATGGTTGTCGACAGGCTCACACAACACTTGCACGTGTCATGCCTGCGTTTCCAATGTCCACCAGGAGAGGTCGCGCCTGACATCCCCGTACCTGCACCAGGACTCACACGCTCGTCACGCTCCACCTGCATCAGTAAGGGCATCGGTAAGATCATCGGTAAGCTCCGCGCAGCGTGCCACTGACAGGCGCCAGGAGGCCATCGAGATCCTGTCTTCCAGGAGCCTGCACGGAGCTTACTGTCATGAGGGGTCTCTCCGAGCATCTCCGGTACAGAAAGGGCATCGCTCACCTTGACCTTTAGCTCCCAGCTTGAGAGCTCTACACAGAGATCTCCAGCACAGAGCGAAGCTGCCTGCAGGGGACAGGGGATTAAATTTGACTTCACTCAGCTCACATGAGAAGCAGACTCCAGGGCTTTAGACATCGCCTCATCTCGGAGAACATATTTCAGCATGATCCGCCCCATGCTTTGCACGTAGTGCACTCCCCTGGGCGCGAATATGCGAATGGAGCACGGCTAGCACAGCTTCATCGCTCTGCTTGCAAAGGACGTTTAGCACGGCACTTGGTGGTCCCACTCGAGGGCAGACAGGCGAATTCACGCATCTTGTAGACCTGGCCCTGCAGCCAGTCACATCTAGTCATCGTCAAGAGCTTCCTCACTGCTAACAACGAATGAAAATTCAAACAAACGGAGCTGCAGCTACGGATGCGCCATGTTGTTCATAAAATCCCACTGTAGCACGATGCGCTGTGTGTGTGCTTCTTTTATCGAGCCCTTGGCTGGATGCAGCCCTACACTGTCCAACGTCTTCACGACGCGAGAGCTGATCTGCGCCAGGAAGCGGCTCTGGTCTAACACATCTGGCACAGAGGATGACATGTGGGAAAATATCCCTCTGCACATCAGGCGTGAAACTTGTCTATGAATTCAGACATCGGGGCTTTGCTCCCGGAAAATGCGCAGAGCGCTAACAGCTTATGAGCGGAATCACGACATTGTTTCGAGTGTTGCTACAGTACACAGGCCCGGCGTAAACATACTCCACGGCAGTCAGCGCAACGAGCATGCAGGATGCGACGCTTTCTTCCTAGCCTTTGAAGGTTGGCAGCACCTCTTCTGTCAGCAACGGCTAATTAGACTTTGGAGGTCCCTTTGTTACCTCTGGAAAGAAAGCTCAGAAGCGAAGCGAAACCCTGCACCGAATGCTCGCCTTGCAGCACAATCTGTTCGGCAAGCAACAGCTGTCCCATGTTGCCGTGACAAAGCACACAAGATACAGCTCCAGAAGACCTCCACAGCTTCAGCACCACTCACTCAGCCAGACCCAGATTGGCACCTGCAGGATATACAGTATGCACAGCTTTGTTGTGCGAAGCTTGCAGGTCAGAGTCCTGCCTGATTGCTCCATCTCCTCGATCAGGTCCTTGAAAGGCCCAAAGATGGGAGGCAATACAAAGAATGGAAAACGTCAAAGACGTCAGCTGAGCGCTGGACATCGATCTCGGTCTGATTTTTCCTCAAGGCCATAAGACCCATGAATTACCCGGGCCTAGTGGGTCCAAAAGGGGCCTCAGGGGCCCAAGGGGACTGAGGAGCCCAAAGTACCTAAGGGCCTCAAGTCTGGGGACTCTTAATGCCACCTAAGCTTCGAGGTCTTTTGCTTGTCCTTGGAGTCCATCACAGCGCTTGCATCGCGCGAGAGCTGGCGGCTGACAAGTTGGGCATAGACGCCCCCGTTGGCAACGAGCTCGTCGTGATTCCCCCGCTCCACAATCGACCCCTTGTGAACGACACATATCTGCGTTGCATTGATGACTGTGCTAAGTCGGTGAGCGATGAGCACCACTGTGCTGTTCAGGTCTGAAAGCAGAGTCTCGAGTGCACCCTGCACAATTGCCTCATTCTCGGCATCGAGAGCTGATGTTGCTTCATCCAGAAAAAGCATTCGAGGCTTGCGGAGGAAACACCTGGCAATGGCCAATCGCTGCTTCTGTCCACCAGACAGCATGATCCCTTTCTCGCCAACGCGCGTCTCATAGCCTTCTTCCATGTCAAGAATGAACTCGTGCGCGTTGGCTGCACGGCAAGCTTCCACCACTTCATCTTTGGTGTATTCTCTGCCAAGTCCGTAGGCAAGGTTCTCTATCACACTGCACGAAAATAGCTGCGTGTCCTGAGCCACAAAGCCACAGCATCGACGAACGCTCTTGGAAGACAGTGTCGTCATACTCCGACCATCCAGGAATATCTCCCCGCCAGTTGGCTCATAGAATCTCATGAGCAGATGAACTAAAGTGCTCTTGCCGCCTCCGCTCTTACCGACAAGAGCGGTGGTGGTCCCTGGGGGCATGTCCATGTCGATGCCTTTGAGAACCGCAGTATCAGGCCGCGACCTGTAACGAAACTGAATGCCACGCAGCTGCAGGTGGCCCTTCACCTCACTTTTACAAACGTCACCAAAAAAAGAGACGCCCGGTCATCAACACCCTCCACATCCTTCGCAACCAAACCCATTACAGTGAAAAACGTGGAACACCGAACACTGAGACAAGAGACAATAAGACTACAAGCCCGAAGCTTCCTTGTGAAATGATTACTACTCAACTGAAACAACACGACTGACGTTTCCCACCAAGGTCACAGTGTCCCGGGTCACCTCCTCTCCGTCATCGGGGTTCACGTCGGGCCGGGCATCAATCAACGAGAATACCCGCTCAGCCGCCGAGGATGAACGAATCAAGTCATTGAAGACGTTCCCGAGAGCGATGAAGGCGTTGTTCATCATGTTCCAGTAGAGCTGAAAAGTAATTAGAGAGCCAATGCTCATCACTTGGCCCTTCTCATCACAGACCAGCTGGCCACCATACCACAAAATAAGCACAGCTGTGCCCAAGTTCAAGTACGTTGAGAAAGCTGTCACGGAAGCTCCAACGTAGGCATTCCTCACACCATGGCCTAGGGCTGTGTTGATGCTGTCTGAGTATTTGAAGGCCTCGTGCTCTTCAGTTGAAAAGCCACGGACTGTGCGAATGTTGCCAATGGCATCAGTTGCAGTGCTATTCGCCTCACCATATGCACAGTAGATTGATCGTGTGATTTTTCTGGCCCACTTGGCATATGCCCGATAGCTATACGTGATCGGCGGCACAATTGTCAGCGCCAGTATCGATAGCTTCCAAGATGTCCGGAAAGCCATGAGCATGCCGCCCACCTCAAGCACTAGAACGTCGCATTATGTAGCACCTCACCTAGTCACCTAGACCTAGACGGTACAACAAACATAATCAGCTATGCAAATCCTACATAATCCTCGTCAACTGCCTGCGGCCGCCTTGCCTATCTTCTGCTTTCCAGCAGGCAGGCTTCTTCGAAGACGACATGACGCAACCCTTGATTCGCGTGCTATCCCGAAAACCGAAGTATCAGTCGTGCTCCCTACACCGGGCCAGCAGTCATCCAGGTCAGGAGTGTTTGCAGTGTCCAGGTCTTGCTTAGCTCAGGGATTTCCAGGCTTTTGCCGGCCCACGGCTTTCTGAAAGAGACGGGCCCGGACATGAAAGATTCTCCCGAAAGGTAGCCGAGGTGCCAGCAACAGGACGTTGGCCAACAGATCGTTCATCAATGTGCTAAGTGGCTGCGTCATCTGACCTTAGAGTCGTTTCACTCCGAGATGACGATCCAAAAAGCCGGCCCCTGCCAAACAAAAATACTGGTTTAAAAAAATGGCCCGTCCCAAATCCGAAACATGGTCCTGGAGCTATGGTCCCCGAGCTGCTTGCATCGTTCGTCAGGCGCGAGGTGAGCTGACCCGTGTGCATCGTGTCGAAGAAAGCGATGTCCATGCGGACCACGCTCGCAAAGAGCTTGAGGCGCACGGAGCAGGCCATGCGCCGCTGTACCAACTCTTGGGCGAGCGCCTTCAGGCCACTGAAGCATCCTTGCAGGACGTTGATGATGACATAGGTCAGCATTGCAAACTCAAACTTCGATCTTCCATCCTCTGGTTTTTGAAGGTACGCAAGGATTCCATCGAATATGGATCCCTGGACATTCGGAGCAAAGATCTGCAATCCCTGAGTGATGACCAAACACACCACCGCAGCCACCAGCGTGGGCCAGAAGTCCAAGGATAGCTGCCTGTCTTCAACTCACAGATGTCTCGTGTTCTGTCAGTTCGTGACAAGTGACACATCGAAGCACACGAAAGCTCAACACAGAGGACCAGAGACAAGTGACACAATTCGCTTGAAGTATGTCCATGTAGTGATTTGCTCCCCATCCCGACGCACGGAGCGTGCGCCAAATCCTTTGGCGCTGTGCTTGTCTTTCCTGAAAGTCATCATGACAGAAGGCTGGACAACATGGCAGGCTGCCGAGCTGCAACCATGCTTCTGCTTGTAGCACCGCGGACAGAGGTCGAAGTCGCACGTTCTGCATCTGTATGCGATATAGTGCGGGCCCTGGCAAGTTGCGCTAGGAATAGCGACAAGAAACGAAGTCTGGCCAGAGATTCCTAGGCCCATTCGGTGTGACTGCCGGCCTTCATCTGGTCACTGCATACGTCACAACCATGACACTTGAGGCCAGTCTCAAAGAAGAGCGGGTGCATGTGGATGTGCGGAATTAGCCTAAGTTCTTGGCTGTAGCAAACGAGTACCATGGCTCCTGCTGCGAAATCCAACTGCTCAGATGGTCACAACTTGGCCGCTAGCTCTCCTTGTTCCTCAGTGCATCTGTTCAACAGGTTCTTCAGCATGAAGTACTCCTAAGTGAACAGCAGCCACGAAGCTTGTCACCGTCTCAGCACATCAAAAAAATTCGACATCTGCGGTACCACCCGGAAACACCCGGAAAACCCTCAACAAGACAACGAACGGACAGTTTGGCATTCAACTTGCCACCGTGAAGCTACGTTGATCATGACCATGGTGAGAGCCTGCAGCGTGCCCTGCAAAACCAGGAACCGCGGGTCGTAGTGGTACACAATGCACTTGATGCCATTGTAAAAGGACATGCCTGCCGTTGCAAAAGCACTGCTCAGCTGAACATGCTTGGTAGATCGCTTTGGTTTATATCGGCAGGGATGGGGACGCTAGGCCGGATCATGATGGTATGCACTGGTCGAGAAGTCTCGAACCGCTGGATGGGGGCAATCGGAACTCTGTGGGAACTCTGTGGGGGAGGGTGGGTGGGGCAGGGCTGGGGGCGGGGGGAGGAGGGGGGGGGGGGGGGCGGGCTTGGCAGGATGAGAACTCCATGAGAAATCCATGGACCCTAGTCCCTTCATATCACTTCACCTAAGAGAAGACATCCTTAATCCCTTCCGGATTGCGGTCTCCTTCTAGTTCGAAACCTCTCGGATTTAGGTCTCCATCTAAACCCACTCAAGAATTGGGGGCAATACTTGCGGGTCCAGGATTGAAGTTACAAGCCTTTCTGACCAGAGCTCAGTGCGCCTGTGCTGATTGCAAACAGCACTAGCATGATGATCTCCTTTCGCCGGTCTGCTCGTTTCATCAGCAGCGCATGGTCCCGATTCATCTCGAAAGCGCTCTTCTCCTGCGCAGACGCCGGTGACAAGTCATGCCAACCGACATCGGAACGTCTGGGCAGCCCGCGCTCGTGGTGGAGATCATGGAGGAGCTAGCGGAGCCTGGCAATTGGGTGGAACATGATGACAGCAAATTTAAGCCACATGGCCGCAAATTCGCACAAAGCTTCCCAAGCCGAGGCCTGAGCCGTTGAGACCATGCATCGGCACCTGCTGCAAACCACACTGGCGCCACCAAAGAGAGCAGAGGAGAACACTCGGGAGGGCACTGCATATATTGCCCTCTACCAGACATTCGAGCCTCCGCCAAAGGCACCCGCAGGTCCCCATTTGATCCGTTGCTGGTCACTTCTCGAGCAGACTCCTGAACATGGAAGCGCCTAACAACGGAAAAGAAAACTGCGCTTCAGAAGCCATCTCTCTGGCGCCTGCGCTTGCCGAAACTGCTGAAGTGGCGAGGTGGCCTTGTCCAATTTGGCGGGCACACCAGTCTCAGGCCATCTCAGATGTGTTTCACTGCCTCCGTGCGCCGGTAGACCACGAACGCAAGACCAGCCATCAACGGGAAAACCTGAGCTCAGCAATGAGTGATGGGATCTCATGAGCAGAGGCAGGGTCACGGCAAGTCAAGTCGCTTCTGCCATCCGCAGAAAAGTGTAAGGGAAATGCTAGCAAGCCCCGCGCGCCGTATGCCACACTCCCACCAGAACTGCTTCCCCGGTGGCGCTCTTTGTTTTCCATCCTATTCGATTGACCGAGTCACGACCCAGCCCTTAAGCCTTCCGCAGACTTCCCGCAGTCTTCTATGATGACGATTCAGTTTCACGTATTGCCTGTGCTTCCGTGAACCTTCGCCAGAGCCGTCCTTTTGGTGGTTTACGTGGGCTTTTAGTCGGGGTCTTCTGCAGGCATCTGCAGGTCATCCGGTCTTTCGCAGGTGTTTTGGCCTTACGCATGCTTCCGCGTCCGACCCACATGTTTCGCCGCGCACCTAGATGGCACTGCGGAAGCGCTGTAGCAAAGAAGTTTTTCCACATGCCGCTGTCAAGCAAACGCTTGGCACGGCATAGCATGGCGTGGCATTACAATGGACCAGCACGACATGAATCTCACTGTCACTCAACGCTATACGGCAAAAACATGGGCACAAGCCACAGCAGAAAGCAGCTGCAGCTGTCCGGGAGTCTTGCCAGAACCCGGACAAGGCAGCAAGTCAGGATGTCAGATGTCACCTTCGCTTTCAACCATAACACTATCAAGACAATGTGGTGGTGCCCAGCTGAGGCCACTGGACCCTGAGACTTGGACCGACTCGTACTCATCAACGCCAGCGTCTCTTTTGGCGTGTGTTCCGACATAGTAAATGCACAAAGCGACGGCAATGTCCACCACAAAGGCCTGACAAAGCCCTAAGCCCGACTAAGCAGATCAAGTTGAGGGGCTGCACAAGACAAATTTTAACAGAAACCCCCAAGAAACGTGCTCTGTACCGAGCAAGGCGCAGCGCCAGTGGCCAAAGACAGAGCCCCGCGAGATAATTGCATTGAAAGAGGCACAACCTGAGCCATGCTCTCGTGCGCCCCACAGTATGCACGGACACACACACACACACACACACACACACACACACACACACACACACACACACACACACACACACACACCCACACCCATCTGTGGCACATGGTCAGGCCCACTGGGCTCCGCAACAGAAACAGGTGGCACCGATCGCCGTGGATATAAATAATATTTGAGAGAAACAGCTTCGGAATGCAGCAAATTCACCCGGACAATGTGTCCAACACATTTGGCAGCAGTCGTCAGACCCACGTGCGGGGAACAGCGACTCACGTTGGTCACATTTACCTGGCTCAAGGATGCCTTCAAGGACACCCCGCATTGCAAGAGCATCTTGCTCAAGCAACGTTGTCTTCCTGCGGACTGAAACTATCTACAGTGTTGCTTTCAGCATTCACTGTCACTAAGCCTTCGTTTGACGAGCCACTTCTGGCTGAAGCAAAAGTGATTCAACAGTGATAGTGACTCAGCAGTTTTTTTTCAATCTTACCTTCTGATCAAGTCATGTCGAAGCTGGCAAGCATGGCGCCGGCTCGAGCAAGGTGTGCTTCTTCCTTACTCTCTGCATGTGCCTGCTGGTAACTGCAGAGAAGGGCCTCATGGACATGGATCCCTTCTTGGCAGCGGTCTTCTTGAAGAGGAAAGGGCCTGGGCGCGCCGCCGGCGTTGCGGGTTGTGTTTGCAGGCCAATGCTGACGATGCCTTCAGAGTCCAGCGAAGTATCGGAAGCTCTCGACAGTCGAGGCTCCCGAAGGCAGGAGGTTGTGGCCGCGCGTCGCAGACCCTGCTCACCTTCGTGGTCCTTGTGTCCAGCGCGGTCTTCCTCATCTGCCTGCTCGAGCTCAAACTCGCTCAGTCGCAGCCAGGGCTGACTCTGCCACTTGGTCAGGGATGCAATCAGGGCAAGCCTGAGGTCCTCACATTCTGATGTGCCCCCCTGTTTCTGGATGGTGTGCTTGCTTGTTAGGGGAGGGACCTGGATGGACATGTTTGGGCAAAACACTCTCGGACACCCCTCGGATTCCCCTGCGTCCTCGGCATGGACCTGGCCCTGTTTCGACAGAGATCGTTCCACGCCTCGGTCCCTCAAGCGTCGGCGGGACCGGTCCAGTGCTTGTCCACGGAGCTCCAAGCGGGCGAAGGAGCTGCGCAGCGAAGTGACAGCGTCCAGCAGCTCTCCAGAAGTCACTTCGCCCGACACACGGGCCATGGCACGAGTCCGTCAGAGACGTTAAGACACCTTGAGGCCTTTGCGGTTTTGAGTTCGGGTGCGAATACCATAAAGGAAGTTGAAGCCCTTGCTTGTTGACACTTGTAGCTGTGGCATCCTATAAGCCTGGCTAGGCCTGGCAAAGCGACGAGATGAAGCAAATGGCGAAACCTAGACGACAAGTAGAACATCGATGCAGTCACCAGAAGCCGACACCTCCCATCGCCCAGTGCTCTCAGCCATGCCAGGCGTCCTGTCATTCTTGTTGGCCGCTTTCCGCTTTCAGAGTGCAGCTTCTGCAACAAGCTGAGCCGCGCGCTACAGACGCTGCCAGCGGCAGTAGCACAAGCAGCTGGCATGAAACTATGCCTCTGATCCTACAGTAATTTGTTGAGATCCTTTGCCACATGATTAGTGCGTATCTGGGGCCAGCATTCAATGCCGCTAGCCTGCAGCAAAACGATGCTCAACTCCTTTCCTAGAAGCTTAGCTGCCTGACCTTGATCCTGTAAACACCCTCGACCTACATGTGGGCAAACCGGGTTTGCTCTAGGTTTCAAAAGCATCGCCGTACCTAACTCGTCGGGCAGCCAAGAAATGGCCACGGCCACTTTTGTTCTCAAAGTTATCACATGAAACGTACAAACAAGTGTAAGATGCAAGAAACCTGCAGCTGGCCAGCAAGCAGGGCACAGGCATTGTTTCCGGCATGCCCTCACTGCGGTCACGTCGTCCGGGTGCTTTCTCGAGATGCAAAGGGCACACAGAGTTCCTGCTCGGTCGCTGAAGCCGAAGAACCTGAAACTGCAGTTGTGGCAGCCATCCGGAACTGGCAGCAAAGCCCCGCCTTGCCGGCGAGTCTGCCAGAAGTGCCGTTTCTGGCACCCTGACCACTCACCTCAAAGATGGGGGCCACATTTTCCGCAGAGTGATGCTGTAGATGCGCAACAAAGAGCCTGCCCCTGGACCATCCTCGTGTGGACAAAGCATACGCACTTTGGTATGCCTCGGGACCCGAGTTGGATGGTCGTTTTAGTGGCATGGCATGGCTGCCTTTGGGGATGAGGAAAGTGAGCTATCAGCAAAAGCAGGCTCTCTAGAGGCCACACGCAACTGCGGCAAGTTTGCATCTACGTCCGCAAAGCCACAGATCCGGGCTGAGTCAAGGGGCCTCTCAATCACGGCCGTACAGGCAGCATTCAGTAGCCATGGCTCCCCATCCATCTGGAAATGCTGTCCTGCCGGCACTTGGACATACTTGGACGCTGTCTCAAGCCATCAAGCCTTGAAAGGGGGGTGCCGGAAAGAAACCTCTGGCCTTTCTTCAGACGCATCTCCACCCGCCGTGGCTGGAAGGCAATATCGATATTGCCACATGAGGCCTTTAGAACTTTCTTGGCCAAGGTCATGCCAATGACCTCAGCATGGAAAGAGAACACGGAGACCCGAGTACTCACGGCAAGAAGCCAACGACCAGGGGAAGCACTCCGTAGGGACCTTGTCTGGTGAAAACCTCCAGCCTCCCATCATTTGGGCTGACCTGGCAGAGTGTAAGGCCAAACAATTTTAGGTGTGCATTGTCTACCCTCTCAACTCCGAGCCTGTCTGCCGACGGCCTCGCTGCCATACAAGAGCATGCCTGCACCTGATTGGAAGACTTGCATCCAATCTGTCAAAAGTTTTGGAATCTGGCAATTTCCTAGCCACTTACATCAAAAAGGCAGAGATCTCCGCGGTCCCTACTAAGTCGTCGCCTCCTTTGCTGTCCAAGCGTCCGTAAGAATTCAAATTTGTCAGTGTAAACTGGCGGATGGAGTGTGGGAATGTAACCGTGCCAGGATCATCATCAAACTTGACTTCCAAGTCGTCGTTAAGCGCTCGGGTGCGACAGCACAAGCATCTCGCGCAGTTGGGCCCGTTGAGTGCATAACAAAGCAAGCCGCCATGTATAAACCGGCATGGTGGACAGCAGCGCATTCTAAAACAGCACTTGCCAAGCGCAGAGGACCGCACCCTCCCAACTTCAAAGGCTGTGTGTGCATCCATCCCGACGGAAAAGTAGTTGGTAAAATAGCCAATAAACTCCACAGTACCGCGTTGCCGCAGGGATGGTGGCAGAAGATGGGTGGGTCTCAGGGTCAGTCGCCATTGGTCAAGCAGCACGCTCTCAGCTTTCAAAGCTCTCTGCACATAGGCAAGTAGCTGGAAGTTGTCTGTGAGGGCGGGGCCCCAACCGAGAGAGCGGGCCAGGTCATTGCCCGTACCCAATGGAACTATGCCAACTGCCGGTAGCCGAAGATCTTTGAAGACGGTTTCTCGCCTTTCGTTCAGCTCGGACAGCACCCACGTCACAGTGCCATCACCACCGCACGCAAGGATAGCCACATCCCGACCCTGTCGAAGTAAATCTCCTGCAAGCCCCAGCCCAGAATCCAAGTCAGACGGCAATTTGCAGATCTTTCCATTCTGGGCCAGTAAGGCTTCGAACATTCTCTCGAAGCGCTTGCCGCTCTGGTCGCCAGAGCCTGCCAGGCTTCCAAGGCAAGCAACGCAAAAGAGAGAGCTCGGTCCGAGACGACATACTGGTGTCCTGGATTCACGAATGCGACGAGGTATCGACCAGCTGCTCCCTTGGATGGCAAGGCTCATCATGGCATGACAGAAGAAGGTGAAGAAGGAAAGCAACCTATCAAGGCAGTCGTACGCCAAGTGACGAAGGATAGTTGGAGCTCGTTGTATTCAACCACTGTGATCCTGTCACCACCTCGTCCAATCGACACAGGGCTGCTTAAGGACAAAGGCATGTCGGCTGCTGCAAACTCCCGTAAGTCCCTTTTGAAAAGAGAAGGAAAAGTGGCTAATTAAGAGAGGAACGAGCATTCTTTTTTCTAGGGGGGGGCAGGGGGGAAGGGCACAGGACAAATTGCATTTGTCCAATTAACGGATTTTGTTCCGCTCCCGCGCAGATGCAGTTCTCGGAAGCAGGAAAGGTCAAAATCACTAGGGGTTCTTGGCAACTATAATTCTGGTGTCTTTTGATTTCCTTGATGGCTTTCGGGCTGATTTCTATGAAGACCCGGGCAGAGGCTGGTCGCGTAGCGTTAAACATCGTCTCGGCTTCCGGCCAAAAGTCGTCGAGAACAAGCAACCCAGGATCCAGTCTCCCTCCCTTGCTGTACACCCCCCCCCCCCCCCCCCCACCTCGCCGAACCGAGAAGCTTCGCGATGCGAAAAACACGAAAAGACTCACCCCGCTAGGCTCCTCAGACCCTCCTAGGACCAGCGCGGCCGTGCAGAGGAGACAACAGGAGACTGGCATGATTGGGGACAAGAGCGAGGCAAGAGGTGAAGAAGAAGGAGACAAATAGACGAGACAGAAGAGCGAAAACTGACAACGGCCGGCAGGGCCCAGGAAGGGAAAGGAAGGGAAGGAACAACACGGGAAGGGGGGGGGGGGGCAAGAGGGGGAAGGAAAGAGGCGACAACGGCCGCGAGGGCCAAAGAAGGGGCAAGGAGGGCACAAAGTGCGAGAGACCGGGCTGCGGGGCCGGGTAGCGCGATGCCAAGAAGAACCTCCAACTACTCGGGCTGCTGCAACCCTAAACCTCTCAAAGTACATGGTCCCTTAATACGGGCCCTTACATGAGGACCCCTTATGTACAGCTTAAATTCCCTACAAAACCCAGGGGCCCATGCTTCAGAACCCTTGAAGAAAGGAGGCGAGGGACCATATTAAGGGACCATGTAGCTGCCCCTAGAAAACCTGCCACACCGAGATTTCATCTTGTGAGCCGCCTCTCTCTTCTTGGCAGCCGTCAGCGTGGGCATAGCTTCAGTGTGTCACAAGTGTAGTACAGAATTGTGCGACAAGACGCACGTGGCCAGAAAGACTCATGAGAAGAATCTGCTCAGGACTTCGTGCTTAAGGTTGCCCAAAAGAAGCTTGACTTCCCGTTGACCTGGAGAATGATCATTTTACGTACTTGCCTCCCATCTTCCTTTTTTACAACTGACTTTCCCTCTACTGCAGCCCTCTGAGGCCTCGAACGGCAGTTGGGAAGCTGACATCCGTGCTGCCCGGAACATTGTTCACTGGAGTGGCGATGGCTGGTTTGCCTTGGTCTCGTGCTTGGTCTAACTCCACACGCGGGCTAGCCATGGCAAGACAAGAGAACGGGTGAAGCCAGCTGGCCCCAGGTTCTGCAGTTGAAGAACCTTATTTGCTTGTCTTTGGCACGACAAGCGAATGTTTGCGGCACACCTCGGACGGCATTGCAGCCAGGCCACACAGAGCAGAACAACAGCCTTGGCAGCAAGAGGGCAACAGTTTACACATGCGCGCATGGACTGGCTTGCACCGTGGAAGTCGCTACTCACCACTTGCTGCATGCGGGTCACAAAACGAGCACGGCTGTGCAGAAACTTCCGAATGCTCCCACCTTCAGTCGGGGCAGAGAACAGCACAAAGAAGCTCCCAGACTGGTGCCTTGCCAGGAAACTCAGCCCACTACTGCCTCGTAAGTCGATGGGGATGAGCAGCAAAGAAGCAACTCCTTTGCAGTTTGCATAAGCTCATCAACACAGACAACCACAAGGTGTAGCCCGAACTCCTTAGAAGCCCCTGCAGAAGCTGTTCAGTATGGACCAATGACCCCCATGACCTCCTACAGTACAATGCAAAGAAATCCAACTCCTTCCTTTTCATCCAAACTTTACGGTGACTTCGGGCTTCACGATACTTCGCCAAGAAGCACCGCGACGGTCTGGACAACAGAAGTGGCCTGGAAATCAAGAGGAGTTCTCATTCTTCACAGAAAACGATCAGGTCTCTGTCCCTCTTGACTGTTCCTCGTGTCCGGCCTCGCGTAGCAAGGCAAGCAACATGATGAAGACACAAGCTCTCCGCATCCGGCTTGTTGTAGCAGAAAATGTCGCGCTCGAGATAACCTTGTGCACCACGCATCGCATGCAATCCGGTGGTGTTGGGATTGGAACTGAACAAACCCGAAGTCTGAAATACTCGACAAGCAACGCCTGCCGTCACCAGTCAAAGTTGCTTGAGCACCATTTGGCTGCTTCTGGCGAGTCCTGACCGGGGGCATGTCGGATTGACTGAGAGCTTGAGGGGCAAGCACTGCATGCGACCGTAGCCTGAGAAGAGTACATACGAAACTGCCCGAGCGTCGGTAGAACCTAGCCATCATGACAGCAACAACAACACGCAAAACAAAACACACACCGCTCCACTGTCTCACTGGTCAGTCATGGCTTCCCTGCTCTGCTGCAGCTGCGTTGCCCTTCAAAGGCTTGGCATGCAGGGTTTTCCGCGCAGCTGTTGGCACAGCTCGTAATCGATGAATTCTCCAGTTGCCGTGAGATCTCCTTAGCTTTTTTGACCACCGTGCAACATAAGTCCTGAAGACAGGATTCAAGGCCCCTGGCCTCACGTCCGCAATCTTTGGGGCTTTCGCATGTGCACTCGCCCACGGACGCATTGAAATCGTACAGGTCCTGCAGCAGCCACAAACAGACCCATAAGGATGTGAACGAATCTGAAAGCACACAGTAGCGGTCCTGGCATTGAGCCTTGATGCAAACTGGACCTCGGAACCGGTCATGGCCAAACTCCCCAAGCAGGCAAGAGTTCGGTTTAATTGCCACAAAGCATCGCTGCATCCCACATTCTGAATCTGATTGGCATTCAGATTCAGCTATGAAACCTTGCGCTGCAGCTCCGTGATGTTTGGTGACCGGACGGGCTCGTGACACTCTGAGACTCTTGTGACACTCTCCGACTCGGGTGCAAACTGGAACTGTCCAGCTTCTCGCGCCACCGGTCAAGTTCCAGAACCTGGGGGTCATCCAAAGGCTGAGCTCATTGCGGCGGGGAGAGGTGTGGCCCTGTACATTGTTACATCCAAAATGTACGAACGTGCTGACGGGAGCAGTAGGTGTGAGACTGCCTCATACACCCTGGCAATAACTTATGCGCTTCATTCGTCGCGATCAAAATCCAGCGATGGAGACCCAACCCTCCGGCACACCCACCGCAGTTGCTTAGCTGCGCAGCCGTGGCAAGGTGATTAGCTAATCTGGTTTTTGGGCTCGAGTGCCAAGCTTGACCCCAAATAACAAGACATGCACCCTCGAGTGATATTCTATGGGCGCCGAGCTTGCCAATACTCGACACATGGATTCTTCATTGTCATCCACAATGAGTCTTAGCCATCGTCCTCATCGTCATCAAGCAGAAGCTGAAGCCAATGCTGACGATGACGACGACTAATGCGGCTGATGTGTCATGTGATCTCATGTATTTGCGGAATCATTGAACGGTTGCTTGTTTGCGGAACCATTGAACGGCTGCTTGCTGTGATGTCATGCATATCCTACTTACATATACAAGCCACGGCCACGTACCCGCTTCGATCACTCAAATGGTCGCCCCTCCTTCATCCCTAAGCCATGTGCGGCCAGGCATCTGCTGCATGTGGGACAATTAGCGTCTTGTTGAAGAGGGTGTCTTTGGCCTCCTGCACAGGCAGCCAGATCCGATAAAGAGCGCCGAGTGAATGAAGGAAGTGCTGATCTTCTGAGCTTGCCAGCTTGCCGTGATGCTTTTCCCGCGGTCACACTTTTGATGCTGGGTTACCTTCTCCGCCGCATGAAGTTGCACAAGCAGAGGCACCAGCAGGCTGACCAGGCCCATGCAAGGATCGTGGAGAGATGTACGGTACAACAAAACCCAAGATTCTCTACAAGCAATCAGCTCAGGCGCTATCATATGTTCTGTTAAAGCGAACAAGTTCAACTATTGAACTGCCGGCCAGTCCGCCCAGATAAGTAGATTTTGCTTCGGCACATCGTACCTGCTTGGCTTTAGATCCCTAGTCGATATTCTACTCGGCCAAGCCTCAGTACCCTTGACCTTGACATGTCAGCTGCAGAACATAAGAACATGCCGGCTCGAAATGACAACACCGATCAAGACTCCCCGGGCAAGGCAGCCCCAGCAAAGCTTTTTGCAATGCGAGTCATTTCAGGGTCTGTCACAAACCGTAGCCCCTCGGCCAGACAGTCGGGCGCAGCAATCAAGAGACAACCCTCGAAAAGCCTGACAGAAACTCCAGAAAAAGAACGCGCAAGTGCAGATTGGGCGGCCATGAAAGCCGAACACAAACATGTGTCTCACAAGGCTCAGGCAGCACCTTGCTTATCAGGAAGCATGACAGCTATGATGCAGCTCTCCACAAGCTCAAGCAGAACAATCTTGCATTTTGCCGTGAGCTTCTGTGAAAAATCATATGCTGTAGAGCATCGTGGAGCTGCATCTCCGCTGCCAGACGTGATCCATGTCTCGGCGTCAGCATACTCGAAGAGAAACAAACGGTCTTGGCTTGTGGTTGAACCTTTTCCCGCAGCACGCCAGCGTCGCCAGCACTGGATCACTCTCCAGGAGTCTATGAACTCCAATTAATACAATACATCGGTACATCCTGGGCCGGCAAGTCTCGAACAGAGAACAACTGGGCAACTACCATCACACGTTGATATTGAAACTCCGGGCTTCGGCACCCGGGAAGACATATAAGAATGCATATGAATACAAATATGAATACTTGAATACATCCATGAGAGTATTGCGTTACGTGTCCTGACACTTGCCGGCCTCAGGCGAGCCTCATGCAGATTGATCATTGCAACTGCAGAGGTTTGTAGCCCCACTCGGCAGCGTTTCGGGCAGTCCTCCTGCCCTGAAAATGCCTGGCTGGGCTTCTCTGAGAGGCTGGAATCTGTCCATGCCCGCCTTCGATTAGCGAGCACCCCCCCACATCTCAACGTCAGTAGCTTGTGACCTGAGTGTGTGAGTATTCCTTCTTCTCTTCTTCCGCCTCCAAGAGCCATTTCCTTTCCACGTCAACGTGTTGCACATCGACTACCTCCAGGCAGCCTGTCACCAGCTATCAGTTCTGATTTGCTGGTGCTCTCTGGTGCCCAAGGGAATTCCGTGGTTCGACGGATTTCCAAAGCCCCCATGTTCACAGCTTTCAAAGAGCATGCTAACAGCATGCAGTCGGCTGCATGAGGCTGGTTCAACATGTCTCAATCACAGAGCCCGAAACCGTTTTGAACGGAATATGCAAGGTCTTGAATTCTAATGAACTACGTTTCTCAGAGTCAACCACACGGCATTTACGTGAAAGCCTCTGCCGGCATGTTGGTACACCAAGCTTGTAAAGCATTGCAAGGATCGCTGCTTTTCCTTGAAAGCACTTTTTCCATAGGATGCAAGAGGATGCTACATGGATCGCACGACATCGTAGAATGCTTGAAACCTGCTGCTAACTGAGCTCCTCCTGTGCAGCGTGAAATGAATGTACTAATTCGACATGCAGTTGCACTTGCGTCGACAATGGAGGCACTTTTGCGCGCCTTAAGCGTCTATTGAGCATCGTAAGCTTGCTGCAGGCAACCCTGATGAGGCAAGATTCTCACCGAATCCAAACCGGATCTATACAGCTTCGGAGGAGTCACCTGTGGATGAGGAAGTTCTGTCACCGCTCGCTTCTGGTGCCGTGTGTTTCCATATGTTACCATGTGGAGTGTCAATGTGAATGTGAACTTCCCAGTCCAGATCACCGGCTTTTGATCGCAGCCCAGCCCTGCATCTCAGATGCCAATGCCTGCATACTCTTCATGCAATGCATGGCCTCAGGCTGCTCAGGCTGCGCCAGATTCTGCAAGGCTGTCTGGCGGCACAGAACCTGACAGGACCTTCTGACAGGACCTCTGAGCTGCATTCCAAGTCTCCTCATCATCCAGAACCAACCCCTTCTTCTCATCGCCGGTTGTTTCCACACCTACCAGGATTGGAAGGGCTTGAACAGAAACTGCAGCCTTCACTCAGCTTGGCTCGGCTGGAAACGATCATTGCAGACAAGTTTCGGCAGATGAAATTCCAAGGGGCCAGGGTGATGGCCTGCGATCAATGAGATTTTTGCAGGGCGAAGGGCCTCATACATTATTTTCTTTGCAAGTGCAGGCCTTCGTCTGGACAAAGGTGCATCGGCCAGCTACTTGCTGCTCGGAGAAAGTGTGCGCCTCACAGGGGGACAACTGAAAGCAGCCTCAGGAGCACCAGATCGCCTCTCACATAAAACTCCTCTGAGGCACCTCCAAGCGGCTCTGCATGTCCCAGCGAGCCAGGAAGGGCGCTTGCCACCAAGGCATCTTTTGGATGCTGTGAATGCGAACAAGCTCAACCTAAGCACAGCCCAAGCGCTCAAACTAAGCACAACCTAAGCACAGGCAACCGTCAAGAAACCGTCAAGCCTTCGCACGCTTGCAGTCCAGCTACTGTACATGAGCTGTCTCCATTCCCACCCAGGACCACCTTGGAGCTTGCCAGGGCCGCTAGGGTGCGCTGGCGAAAGGCTTGTGATACAGCAGTTCTGTTCAAAGCTGAGATAAGCTAAGAGAGGGGCCAGTGCATCAAAACTGTCGGAAGCGGAGGCAGGCAGTGAGTTCACAAACTCGGGCACCTGCACAACACACTGAAAAGATACTCGCATCGGTAAGACAATCCGGGATACAAACGGGGCCAGCAGCACCGGCTGAAAAACCGAGTGAAGATGCTGGCACTGTCCGGTGCTCATCACATTCTTCAAAAGGGACCTGCAAAAGACACCCAGCCATGACGCTACTAAGGCTTCACGGCAAAAAATGTTCACACGGTCATGCATTCACGACATTGTTCGACTGCCATGGTCATCCTGCCTTGCACGAAGCAGCTCGTGCACCAAGAGAATGTGGGTTGCCGGCGACATCGGCGGTGCCAGGTTGATATCTGCACAGGGCCAGCATCATCTCTGAAGTTGGACTTGGTTTGACTTTTTCACACGGAAGTGGCCATAACTTTGATGACAGGGTCAACAACTTCCATTTCCGTGAGGCCTGATTCTGGATCTAGAACCACAAGCTCAGCGTGGCAAGGCCGCTTCTGGAAGCTCTGCTGGAAGGTTGAGACAGAAGAGCCCTTCCTTGCAGCAACTGATTCAGTGAAGAGGGGCACCAAATTCTCAGGCAACGCAGTCGGGTTGAGTGATGGGCTCAAACTGCAGCTTGCCATCGAGACCGCTGACGGTCGTGTATCTCTGGAAGAAAGCACCTCTCTCACTGCTTCACTGCGGCAAGCGTACATAAAAAGCAAAGAAGAAGCGCGGCACAGGTGGAACAGAGCCGTTGCCCTTACACACGGCAAAAACTTCTCAAGGGCAGGGAGCTCAGGAGCGCAAGTACCGCTGCCAGTGGGTTCTCTGAGAGGAGTTCTGGTGAGAAACATCCTTGGGCAGACAGCCACACGCAGTACGACTCCACACGACTGTGTTCTGGATTCGGGATCGCAGCAGAATGTGAAGTTCGCTTGGGAAGCTCCCAGTGCCACCGAGCAACCACTTTGCTCCGCGCAAACATGCATTGCCAACAGCATCCATGCCACTGTTGGCAGCGAGCCATCTTTCATGCGGGGTATTCGTCTCATCCTCGACTCGGAATGTTCCACACCAGCGCAGACTCAGAATGAGATGCTTAACCATGTAACCATGGGCGTCCTCAGCCACCACTTCAGACAGCGCAGCGTCACGGTCAGCACCGGGACGCTGACCACCTTTGGCACCAGGACCAACTCCTGTACGACGCCTACGATGCACTGGCCATTCTGGAGGCATTGCTATTCAGCTGCTACTCGGCGCAAGGTCCGGGCTGTCGGAGGATTTGGAGGCACAGCACCAACGTTGTGAAACCAGCTTACCTGTGCAAGCACTGCATGCCACCACCATGCCTGCATCCCGGAACCCCTTGAATTTTCGAAAGGGCAAGCGAATCAGAGTGCAGAGCATCAAAAAAACTGGACTGCTGAGCAGTTGCATGCTGGATGGAGTGGTGTGAGTTCACGGCCAAATCGACCTGGGCGGCCCGCAGCGCGCAGAAACAGCGCAGCCGTGAGCCGAGCAAGAGATTCAAGGAGTCTGGATGCCGTGTGCCTTGCGCCAAGGCACCAAGACCTGGCTTCCCGACGTCACGGACAGGATTGGTATACGGGCATCATCGATCACCTCGGGGTGCTTTAGCTCACTTGGCACACTTGCACTCCGAAGTGCTCTCATGCATGTTCGAAGCACTGGCATATGGTCATGAAATTGCTGGTCTCCCCCCCCCCCGTCCCCCTCATGCTCGGATAACGCTTGGCTTCGGTTAGCCTCTGGCTAGCAGACCATGCCCTTTGTATGTAGAAAAAGCCTGCAAGTGCGGCTTACTAAGGACAGGGCTAGCGCGGTAAAGCCTTCTGGAAATCCTGTGGAGTGACCTGGGCCAGGTCAGTGCCCAGCTGTTGGCAAAGCCTGTGTGGAGAAGCCTCTTGGCAATGCCAGGCGGCTGTCTGAAACAAGGATGTCCCGAACCTCACAGGGCCACAGGGCAGCTGGCAGCTGAGCACAACGAGAATGAATCTCGGTGGCCTTCCGCAGGACGCTCACCGCATCTACTTGATGAGCTGGCGAGTTTGTCACGCACCTCAGCGGTGAAAGCAGGAAGGAACTGCCGGCTTCTATCTACCGAAGCAAAAAAAGCTTGCTGAACGATGTGCCCGAAACCCCTCGATCCCTAGAGCCACCCAGCTCTGAAAGAGGGTAAGGCAAAAGGGAATCCCCTAAAACCTCGGAAGCTCCTACTCGTCTCAAAAAAGGCGCACGAGGTCCACATCACTCCCGGGTGTCTCCAGAGCCAAGGCCAGACTTCCCACCAGCACCATCTCCTTTTTTTGGGAGGGGGGGGGGGGGGGGGGGGGGGGGGGGGGGGGGGGTGAGGCCCAAGGGGTACTTTGCGGGGGACCCGATGAGCTCTAAGGGCCTTATTTCGGGGATCGTTTTCAATTCATTTTCGTTTCTTTCTCTTTTTTTTTTTGGGGGGGGGGGGGGGGGGGGGGGGGGTGTGGTGAAGGTCTTGAGCTTCAGGTGTTAAGGTACTCCCCTGGCTCGCAATGCCAGAGCCCTTGAGATTGCATTGGATTCCATAGCATCGTAGGCTGTGACAAGCGCCGGTCCTTAAAATCGGTGTCAAGCGCTGTCCTGGGGCCGTGCAGAATGCTCGAAAGACTCAAAAGCAAAACGACAGGAGCACTGTGTCCTGCATGCTGTTTCCACCAAGCTCACCCATTGCTGCTGCCAGGGCCGCATGCCTGCAAGAGCAAAGAAAACAGCCCAAGCAATGCAAGTTGCGGCGCTCTTCCTCAGTTCAATGTCAGGCAACCTTGGCAGTAGCCATCCATGTAGGTGAGCATCTCCTGCACCCCACTGCACAGCAAAGGACTCCACCCACGGTCCACAGAACAGGTGCAGGCAACACATATGGTAAAATTCCGAGTTTGGCAGTGCGAGATGCATCTTCGTGGCAGATACAGGCATCCTTCCACCCCGCCCCTGCACAGCTTCCGGGATCGACCGGCTTCTTCGACAGATTCGACAGCACTCGCACTACAATCCCAGCCTACCAGTGTCGAGGCGTGCAACATGCAAAATAGATGCTACGGCCCATGGCATGCAAAGCACATTGCACTCACTACGCAAAGTGACAACATCGACTTGTGCGAGCCTGTCCTGAAGGTATTGCAAGCCACCGCAGGAGCAAGGAGGAGCAAGTGCTGAGGCCAGCTCAACTTGCGGTGCGCGCGCTTTATGCGACGCCTCAGGGGGATGGTGAAGCCACGCGGCTTGTTGAACAAAGGGCTTGAGGATCTGTTTGCCACTCTGTTCTAGCAACGAGAGCACTGACAGAAATGCCTCAGATGCAGATCTTCTGGTTCCAGCAAGATCCGCGAAGGGCATTAAGCCATGGGAATGGCACTCAACGCTGCCATGGACCTTGCATCGAAACGACAGCTTAGCGAGGGAGGTCACGCTCCGTCAGCTCTGACGAGTCTGCAGCACGCCTTGCATTGCCCTTGCACAGAGGTGCTCTGAGTTGCAGCCAAGACCAAGGATCCGGCGTCTTGCATAACCTGAGCTGGCGGTGATGCACAACACGCTCTGAGTAAGTGCGCAGGCGCTGAAACCACACTGATGCACCCCAGCAGCCCTCCCCGACCCCCGACCCCTTCAAGCTGCGGAAAAGCTTCACTCGAGTTGGATGACTCCCCACTTTCACCGGCTTCGCTCATAGCTGGTGAAGCAGTGCCTTGTCAAAAGAAAGGCTTTGCACAGTTTGCCAAATGCCACACCGCATAGTGTAGTGGACGTTCGTGCTGAAGCCGGGAAGCTTATCACCGACTCACTGAGGTATCCGAGGTCAACATTCCTTTCGCTCTCCTCCAGAAATTAAGAAAGTAGCCACGACAGCCAGAGGCGAGAAGGAGGGATTGTCTAGAATCGATTAGGGAGGGCTTGCAGGCAGGGAGTACTGAGCGCTAGTAATCATGACTTCCTGCTACAGCTCATGGCACATGCTTGAGAAGTCCTTGGGGACATCCTCCTTCTTGCACTCTGATCTTGCCCATGTGGAGGCAACGCCTTCCTGCATGTCGGCACTCTTCTGCACAAGCTGCCGGAAGTGAAACGTTCGTCGTGGCAGGATGACAGTTCCTATGCAAGTCTAGCAAACCGACACATGCCGAAGTGGACGCGGTGCCCTACAAGTAGCATGGGGATGCTCGGACTCATTGCAAGTAAGGCTTCCTCTATCTTCTTGAGGACGCGGTAAAGACGGTTGCGAGATGGTGGACCCCCGACCGGTTTTTTGAAATCCGTTTATTCTCTATTGTGAACCCAGAAGCTGCACGGTCCTCTCCACAAGCCTTCCTCAGCTTCGACGAAGCTCGATTGCGCACACGAGGCCTAGAAGTTCCCAGCCTCTTGCTGACAGGCGTCACAGGTAGTTCCTGCGGCTGCAGCAATCCTTGATTTCTGTCCTTCTCCACCGCATGGTGCTCGATTCCTCTCCATGATGCACAGAAAAGCAAGCGCCAAGCAGATGATATCAAGTATCTTGTCTCAGCTTCCAGGCAAGCATCGTTCATTCGCAGCTGTTCCCACAGCCATTGCTCTGAAGAGATGTACAGTAAATATCAAAGTGATGCTGGCCCAGCGTGTTCTGTCCCTGTCTACCAGCAAGTCATGCATGCAGCTCTAGCATTGTAGCATTGACAATGCCTCATCTAAACCAGGCATGCGATGACCGCATCTGCCTGGCTGCTGCGACTATGTGCCGTCTATTTGGACAAGCGAACCCAAGACATGATTCCGCACATCGTCGAGGCTCATCGTTCTTGCTCGAAAAGCTGCTGTCATACACACCACACACAGTCGTACAGGCAGTCAATGATACCAACACAGCAGGATGCCAGACTGCGAGCGCAACAGTCAGGGCTTTTGCTTGCCTCTTCGTTTTGTCACCTTTCTCGTATGACTTGCGCCTGTTTGTCTTGTTGCGAGTATGAGCCACTCGCTACGGTTTCGTGTCCAGGCCTCGGGTGTGCCGCCGACATTTTCGGATTTTGGGTCCAGACGACTGGTGTTTAGGGTCTGCCCTCTTGCCTTTTACCTCTTTTTGGAAATAGGATTTGTGTAAGGGGCCTCCGGAATCTTCGAGGAGGCAGAGGACATCCATCTTTTTTTTCATGTGGTCCAGGACCCCTCTGCTTCAGCCGGCATGAACCTGTGACAACACCTGTTCCAGCATGTTCCAGCCGCGTTTTCAAAAGGAGAGCACTGGCGGCGCAGAAGGCACCGGGAGACTTTCTTCTTTTCAGACCTATTCCGTGGAACTCTCCCCAACACGCCCCGTGGGTGCCTTCGGCCACCCAAGAGGCGGCTCCCTGGAGACCTGGCTCTTGGCAGAGCCTGCCCGAGCCAGGAGTCCAAAGTCGCAGGTAAATCCGATCGGATCCTAAATGAAGCGGTTGGCTGTGGGGCTTGCGACGCGCGGACTGGAGGAAGCAGTTCTTGGAGTTGTCCCTGGCGTATAAAGCTTTGCTGTGGGTTTCGGTGCACTGGGGACGCTGGGGGCACTGGACTCCGTCTCCTCCGAGTCCTCCGAGTCTTGCTCCTTCTCTCCGCCGAAGACACTGAAGCCTGCCGCACCTGCCGCAGGCCGCTGCACCGCTGGCTGAGCTGGCTGCGCCGGCTGTCGGGGGGCTGACGCGGGGCGGGGCGCGAGCGCTTGCCTCAGTGTCACCTGACTGGCCTCGACCTCCCTCTGCACTTGACTGTACTGACGGGAGTCACCCTCCTCTCCGAGGATCGTTTCCACGGCCTTTTGTTGATTTCGCAGGGCCAGTTGCAGCTGCTGGATAGCTTGCTTCTGCGACTCTATGATCGTCTCATTTCTTTTCCTGATGATCGAAGCCTGCTCCAGCTTATCACTCAAGACGTCAATGTCCATCGTCAGTTGGGTACGGGCTTCTTCCGACATAAGCAGCTGCTTCTCGAGTGTCGAAATCCTCCGAGCTTTCTCCTTCAGCTCAGCGATGTGGTGGCACTTAGACGAGTAGTCTCGCACTGCTTCTGGATGCCCGGATACGTTCACTGGCACAGAGCGCTGCCGAAATGCGCCGATCCGATCCTCCTCTCGAGCTCGCAGCCTGTCCTGGATGCTTCCTGCAAACATCGCCGATCCTGACTGAGATGCAAGCCACTATGCAAACCTCAGGGTGTGAAACTTGAGCCCAAGCACGTGCATCCCGAATACTCTGAAACGCCAGTTCTGAAACCCCACTTCGAACTCATCAAACTCGAAAGCCAAGATGAACCACAAGATCGCATACCGAAAAGCCACAAGAAGGCTGGCACATTACTTTCTGCTCGTGCCTGCTTGTGAAACTAACAAGTACGGAACAAGCAGATGGGGTGAGACAGCTTCTGAAAAGACCGACCGCCGTCAACACAAACGAAACCGCATGACCCACCCTTTGTCATTGTCATTTGTGCTACAGTACATGGCATACACTTGACCTGATTGTGAGCAGGTAAAACCACCACAAGGCTGCCACGTGAGCCAGGATGTTCAAGTATAGGATCATCCCAGCTTCAGTCGTTGAAGCTTTCGCTCCGTCTCCTGCAGATTCGCCGTCCGAATCTACCGCGGTGGTGGTGTTTTGAGCTGAACCTGCAAGGTGTCAGTGATAAAACAGGCATATGACATGCAGCTCCTCAAGCCGCGAGAGGTTGGAGGCCATGCCAACTGCCTGGACCGGAAGGTGGAGCTGTTAAAGCTATGACTACTGATACTACTGAGGAGACCTGACGGAAGGCATGCATGCGGGAAGACCGAGCAGAATTCACACCATCAGGACACATCAGGACTCACAAAGCAGACCGTCCGAAGCACCAACCATTCATGCTAATAGCCTTCCTGCATAAGGCAACCGGCCTATCCCGTTCGTGCAACTGACTTAGCCTGTTTCACACAGCATCCGTTTGGTTTGGGCAACTTTGGTTGAAGACACGTTCCCGAAAGTACGAAACAGGTAAGCGGCAGGTAAGTCCCAGGAAAGTCCACTCAGGGCCCACCACCCAGCATCCCGCAGCGAAACACTGAGTGGAGGATGGACGAGCTGAAAGCCAACAATGGTACATCTGACGGCAGCCCGCATGAAGCAATGAAGCGGCCACTGAAAAAGACCTCAGGGCCTCCGACATCGAGGGTCTCCGCTCCCAAAACAAAACGGAAGGAGATATTCTCAAGCCACGGAGTGCTGTCATCTCTCTCTTGTTGTCAGAGTAAAGTAATGTTCGGAGTTTGGTTCGCACAGCTCAGGGAATCAGAGTATCTAGTTGCAAGATTCCGCGCCCCCGGTTTCACAAATCGCAGCAGATCTGTTCATACCGACCCTGCTTTCTGATGTTTCCTGCCTCCAACTGTGCCAAGGTCTTGGCCATGGTTGGAGGACCCGGCATTCCTGCGTTTCCCCTGGGAGCGCATTTGGCCACTCAGAGAGGGCTGGCGGTCCGCACTCAGATGCACCGCTCATTAGCTGGGGCCATGGCCACAGTACGTCTGGATGATGACTCACGGCATGTCTTGAGACTGCCTGCGCCACAGACTTGACACGATGATCCTCAACTCAATAAGCCTCTGAGGGCCCTGTGAGGGCCCCGTTTTACTTTCTTTTTGGGGCTTCTCTGACACCACTTTTTGTGCTACAATGTGCTGCGAGGTTCAAAGCCAAGCGCAGGGCTGTGGGCAGATGAGGGTTCAGCTCGGCTGCTTCTAACCTGACTGCACATGAGCACTTAAAGTTGGCTGTCGTTCCACAAAAGCCCGGCCTCTGTGAAGGAGGCAGATCCTGACCTCGGCAAAGCCACTTCACATAGATGTGCTCTTGTGCTTTGCGAATGGCAGCCAAATGGCCAAAACAGATCACCGCATGTTCAAAACTTTCGAAAGTTGGGAGAGGTGCCGTCCAGACCAAATCGCTTTCGGTCTTCCAGAGATAGGCTGCTCCTTAAGGCCCAAAGCCGGCATCAGCAGCTAAAAAAAAACACTGCGGAATATTGCGAGATGCTGCGTGGCTGAGACCCACACCATGCTGGAGCTGCCTCCTGATTTGCGACAGTCTCTGCCTTGAAGGTACAAAGTTCTCAAGCTCGTGGTGCTTTCACCATTGCTGCTGGCGCTGGCCCAAGCCGCCCTTTGTTTGGAACATTTTGGAACCCTAAGCTAGCGGCAGGTGTTGGCGGCTGCGATTGCCAGGCCCACTCACCCGGCAGCTCTCCACTCTGCGCCTGGGCAACAAAAGCAGGAACCCACCTGTCCAACCAGCAACCCACTCGCCTTTACGCGCGCCGTACCCGTGCCTTACCTCCTCCTTACCTCATCCTTATCTCAGAAACCTGGCCTGCGAAGCGTTCTCCGCCGGAGGGTCGGATCTTCTGCTCTGCGACTGCCCAGGGGATCAACTTTGAGTCAGGCATGATTCAACAATGAAGGTACTGGTGGAGCCACGCTTGCCTTTCTTGCTTAGGTGTAACGAAAGCTTGGCCTTCAAGTTGCAGCTCTTGTTTCGGTGCTGGCAGCCATGGTAGACAAACGCACGCCGCTGAAAATTGCTCTTGCCTTTGGCAAAATACATCCAACACGGGACCCATTGTCAGTGCACGGGTCCCTGTAAATGCTGGTTCTGAGAGGATGAGCTCAGACATTACAATCAGCAGCCTGTGAATCATTTCGCCTGCCGCCTGACAGTCTCACTGAGGCATTCTTGAATTCGGGCAAAGTAGTTGTCCTGGCAAGAACACATCATCTTCAGTTTCGTCGACGTCTTCCACAAGCCTCCATGTGTTCACCGACAGCACTGGTTCCGGTGCCAATCACGCGCCTTCACAGAGATCCGACACCGAATAGACAAGCGGAATCTGGAAAACGCCTTCACAGAGCTCGGCATGACTGGTGCGCCTGAGCTCTGCCAGCTCAACCTCATCGAAGGAACTCCAAATGTCACCTAGCAGCTTGAATCACACGGGCACACATCCGGAATGCAAACAAGCCCAGGAATTCCCGGTCTACTCCACCTTGGAAGGACAGCATCAAAGAGGAGCCACCTTCCTGCCCGCAGCTTTCAAGCCGTGACCCGAACGACAACAAGTAGTGTGCTCCATGGTGCTATCTTCTTCCACCACCAGCGCCACCACACCAGCAATGAAGAGAGGCCTCGACCTGCTCTTCCTTGGCCGCCTGGGCCTCCGCGACTAAATGCGACGCTGTTTGAACTTCGACATCCCCCCCAGCTGCGGGATGCTCCCCGCTCTCTGCTCTGGGGTCTGTGGGGGGCCTCTTCCAAGGCGGCTTCCTTCAGCCCAGCTGTGCGACCTCGAACCTCAGGCGGAACCCCTGGGGTTGCTAGTCGTGTTGGGGCAGAAGCATGCGTATCCTCCTCCCGCACACAAGTGCAGGCGAACGACTCGCGATACCCTCAACCCCCCATTTACATTGCCTGCTTGGCTCCTGGGCCTGGCCCATCCTAACCCCGACCCAAACCTCAGGCTCCACATGACTCGACTATCGGGCCTTAGAGCCTGTAGCATCTCTCGGCGTCAGGAGCACTTAGCTTCCTTCCTCCGATAGCTTTGCTACGAAAGCGCAAGAGGTGAATGGCACTCAGTCCGGTTTTGCGCTCTCTTTGCCAGAACGAGCTTCAATGACCGAGTGTACAGATGAGTACGCGGTGAGGGCTCTTTGATCTCTTTGATTTCCAGCCCGAAGCTTCGAAAAGAAATGTAGGATTCTGTCCTCCCAGGTCCACCCACTACCCCAAGCCCGATGGCTCGCGATGTCAGGCAAAACACACACACACACACACACACACAGAGACACACACTCTCTCTCTCTCTCTCTCTCTCACGGCCATCGGACGAGTTCGCGACCAAGCCGAGCAAGCAGCACAAAGGTTGCGCCGCATCTGTCTCTAGGACTAACCCGCGGCCCCACCGCAGGATACGACATGGGAACGGTTGACCGTGACAACCCACCAGACCAGCAAGCTACAGTCCAGCGAGTCATCACTCAAACTTGCCGTCAGTGGCACAAAAAGGGAGCTACATCTACGGACTGACTTCAGTAGTGGCTCATTTGCTCCCCAAGATCTCTGTCAAGTGGTCGACCACTTCTTGCACTTCTCTTTCCAGCCCGCTTTTTGGAGCCTGTCCTCTCTTGAGTTTGCCACCTGCATGGATCACTCCCTTTGTCAAGGCCGCCAAAGAGGGTTCTGCATCTCGATGCACCGAGAAGAACATCTTCATGCTGTCCCGGTCGAAAGCTTTGCGGACCTTGCACACATACACGACCCCGGACATGATGAGCGGGTCCGTCGAGACTGCACGATGTTGCTCGATGGCCTGTCGATCATCTGCGTTGAGGGCCTCATCGTCCAACGCCACCCTTAGCAGCGCCGCCCAGGCATGTACGTGAGGCTCTCCTGGCGGGGGTTCGCACTTGCCTGCCTGCGCGCTTTTTGCCTTGTCTGCATACTGCTTGGTGGCGTTGAGCACAGCTTGGACGTAGGGGCAGGACTTGGGCAGGATGAATGTCACGAAGCAAGCAGCCTGGAGTTCTCTTACTTCGAGGGAATTCTTGAGGCACAACCTGGCAATGAGATGCACAGCCTTTGCCATGTCCTTCTCCGTCCCCACAGCAACACGCTTAGCCGTCGGTTTTGCCGCAGGGGGGCCTAGCTCCCAAGCATCCATTGTGAAGCAGCTGGGTTTCAAGCTACGTGGCTCACTACAACTGCTCTTGGCGCCTGGGCCCAGCCACATGTTGGACCACATGATCCCACAACTGTGACAACGATGTAAAAGCAACTGAGCAGTATGGGCAAATAATGTCGCTGGGAATGTCTGGCTCAAACACCACAGCGCTACCACTTCCAGTGCATATCTGATTGCACAAGGCTCGCCTAATGTGTTGTTGCGCAGTGCGCTTGCTGCTGAACACATGCCGGCAAAACGGGCATTGATTCGTGATTGCCAGCTTTCTGTAATCTGGAATGACTGCGTGCGTACCCCCTTGCGTAGAGCGAACGTGAACCGAGAGTTGCTGTTTGCTCTTGAAAGTGGACGTGCACGGTGTGCCATCTTCACATAAGCATGTGCATCGGAAAGAAGGCTCATCCAGCTCTGCCACCCCACCGTCTTCGGCTGCTGAAACCTCTGGGCTAGCAACATATTCAGGTGGAGGGATGCAAACTGCAAAATGCTTGAGACGAATTGGGGACACATCAATCTTGATGAACAGCTCTTGAAGGTCTGTAAAAATCCGCAGAGGCCGATTTTCGAGAAGGGAAACCAGGACTGCTCCATCTTCGAAACGCAGCAGCTGCTCCAAAATGGCATTTTGAAACTGCTGTGCCCATGGGTTGGCATCTCTGTGGAAGCTGCCGTCATGTTCAATGGTGGTATAGTGTTCGAAGCCAAACATCCCAAACATGCATGCAAACCAAATACTGTGCAATTCGGAGCTCCGAGCAATCTGCTGATACCACTGCAATCTTTTGACCGACAATTCATCCCTGCTAGGTGCGATGTGCATGTATTTGTACACCTGCTTGTTTGAGACGGCCTGATAGTGCATTTCACCATTTTCGCCCCGACGTTTGAGGCAACCAGCTCCACACATGAGCTTGCGACCATACTTGAGCAAGGTCCTGTCAAGCCGCTCATAGTCGCCTTTATGCAGCACGAAGCATTCCAGGCCAGAGAGCAACGGCGCGTGCACCATGCTACTGAAGACAATGAGTCTGGATTTCCTGGCAGCAGCAGCAGCTCTAGACCAGAACCTGCCAAACATGACCCACCCCAGCCGCGCAGCCCCCACTCGATGCTGCAGCTCCTCGTGCAAGCGGCCACGCATGTCATAACGTGGTCCAAGATACCGAGCTGCACGGACAGTCTGCCCTGCCAGTATATTGTTGCGAAACACTGCAGCGTACTCAGCTCTGGCTCCTGGCCCAGCAAAGAAGGGGACATGTTCTTGCTTTCCCCTGTTCTGAGCCAATCCAATCCCTGAAAAACATTGATCGATGGTGTCATTGAGTTGGGAGCTTTTGTCTGAGATCTCCTTTGCAGTGTGGCCAGTGACTTTGTTCGCAACATCATCTGCATACGCGGAAAAAGCAGCCTCCACCCACTTGTTGTTGACCACATCCCACGCGACAAACTGTCCTGGTGGCTCCAAGTGGGAGGCATATTCCCGCACTCTGTCAAGACATGGATTATAGACCTCCACAAAAAGTTGCGCTGCCATTCCATCACCTTGAAGCGTTCCGGCCCCCAGCCGAAAGTCTGCAGACTCGTCTCCTCCATGTACACAGATAACCGCCGATCTGTGGCGCTGCACCAGCAAGCTGACATTGTGCGACGGGGAGATCCTTGAGATGCAACTATCAAGCTCAGCGTGGTCGATGGAGTAGAAGGCATTGGCAGCATCATAAAAGGAAGTGCTGTGCGAAACCTTCGCTTTTCGCAAGCGCCAGCCCAAGCAGTGTTGCTGTAGGATAGGTTCCAACCGACTCCGGTGCCTGGTGTATCCGGCAGCATAGTCTCTTTGAGAAGCATGCTGGCAAGTCTTCCAGAGGTGGTTGTAAAAGGCTCTGCCCAAAGGATCCAGCATGTTGATGAGTCTAACGCCTGCAGGCCCACTCTTACTGTTGCGCTTATCGATTTGAGCTGTGGAAGACCTGTGCCAGATTGCAGGCGAGCGTCCATACCTTCGAATGGACCGCATGAGCCCCACCATGCGTTGTATGAAACAAGTCCCCGGTGGATCTGCTTGAAAACCCACTCCACGTCGCAACTTGGTTCGCAGGTATTGCGGATGCAGCAACTGTCTCCACAGCTCTGCCGGACAAGACCATTCTGGCACTGTTTTTCGTAGGCGCAATCGATGCACCTCATGACGCAAAGCGAGAAAATCAGCAGCTGCATCAGCACAAATTGTAGATGGGTCGGACTCCACCACGTCACACGCGTCCTCATGGCTTTTGAATTGCTCCCAGTGGACTGACTCGGCTCGGCACCCACCTTCTGAACCAGGCTGCTTGAGGTAAGCCTCCCACTGCACATGGTCCGGCCGCTCCCGCACAGGTTGGCGATAGCATCTTTTCTTGGGACCCAGAGCCTTTCCAGACAGCTGTCTCGCCGTGGCCCACATTTGAGCCATGTCTCTACGATGCCAAGCATAGTCATATTCATCCAGCAAGCGAGTCTCACGATGCATCCTATCTCTCTTAGCCAACACATCCAGCTCTCTCTGCCTCCGCCGGTGTTGGGCAACTGCGTGCCAGCGGACAAGCATATCGCTGAGGTCTTGATGTGTGTATTGTCTCGATGATATGACTCGCTTTGGCATGGCTGCCAATTTCGCTCGTGCTTGGCATAGCTCCTCAGCAGCCTGCGCTGTGTCTCCCGGTTGTTGTCTTCTTGCTGCAACCCGGCTGTAGAAAAGCTGACCAGCTTCAAGAACAATGCCATTGAGCTTGTCCCAAAGTGGCCCTGGTGGGCCAGACTCCAACGTTTCCCACTCCGGACTTCGCGCGCACTGAGCTTCAACAGCTGCCAGAAACCGCTCCCTGTTTTGCCCTTGCAGAACTCCTTGAGCCAGACGCATTTGATCCCACTTGGGGCCATCTGCACTTGTTGCATACGTAAGCTCATGTTCGAAGCGCACCAATATGGGCCTGTGATCGCGTTTTCCCGCGCTGGGAATAATTTGCAACCTGTCTCCGGCCGCATGTAGGACGGTGCACTGACGAACTCTTGGCCACATCGTCTGCGGCAAGCAGACGTAATCGATGCGACTGTTCCGCTCGAAGCATCCAAAATAGGTGTCTCCGGCAGGGAAACAGGTGTTAACAGCAAATAAATGGTGATGTAGTAGAACACCATGCATGAGTGAACCATTGAAGTTCTGTCTTTGTGGCTGCACCAAACCCACGGCATCACTACCGACAGAACCTGTCCTACCGCTGGCATCCAGCAGTAAGACTGGCACACATCGACTCGGCAGTGAGTCCAGCAAATGCTGTACCCATGCCCACAAGCGTTCATTGTAAGCCCGCTGCGCTTGGCTATGAGGCTCCACTGGGACATATGCCACAATGACACAAAAATCAGCATCACCTCTACGCAAGCGAACTGCACCAAGCCTTCCTTGAAAAAGGGCTGGAGGTGTGTGAACGCGAACGACGTTGCGGGACTGGAAAAGCCGCGATCTGACTGCAAGAAGAACCCCCGCTGCTTTATCGCCAGCTGTGCAACCCCACTCAAAAACCATATGATGACCACAATGATACTGAACCACTGCATGATCAGTACGCCTCTGAGTACCCTGCAAACCAGCGAACGAATACCATTTGAACTCTTGCAGTATCTGCTGTAATCGGCACGCTCGTTTGAGGGATAAAGGATTGTATGAGACAGCTGTCCAACTTGGCATGCTGTCGCCACTTCCGGAAAGCCGGGCAGCCCCGGTCTGGCAGTCATCACAAGAGCTGCCTGCTATGCATCATGGCATTCGCCCGTCGCCGCGTCAGGGCATTCTAACTTGATGGATAGCGGCTAGACACACACACACACACATACACACACACACACACACACACACAACAACTTCGTGATTTTGATCAGCTGGAGGCGGCCTTCACTCCGGATTCAGGCGGTGATGGTAGGAAAAATTCAGAGACCGCTGCGTGATGCGCTTACTGACCGAGGGTGGGATCAGCGCCGGCCTTCGGATGTGCATAAACACTACACGCAGCCGTCGGCTCCTCTCAGGCAGCGGCGATGAGCTCACTTTTTTGCGGATCCAGCTCCACACCAATCCCGGCATGGCGGAAACCTTCCCATTAAAACCTTCCCATTAAAACCTTCCCATTAGCTCAGGCTTCTGGTGGGAAGACCAGCAAAGAGTCTGGATAACGTGACTGAGCGCACAAAAATGCAAACCGCGCACCCCAGAGACTCGTCGGCGGCACAGCAGGCACCACGTCAGAGGTACTGAAGATGCGCCAAGCCCTTGGAACCTCAGCTCGGGAAAAGCGCCAAAACTCGAACTCTATCCTCAGAGCAGAGTAGGAATAGTAGGAGTCAGAGCTCCGGGGGCTCCACGAATTCATCGTAAGCAGCAGCCACACGAGCACTGCCAACTCGCGGAGCACCAAATCTGAAGAGGCGAAGTCTTCGTCAGAGTCGGTATGTGCAGCTGCATGCCAAGCTCCGCACGTGCATGCAATTATCTCAGCGCCCCTGGCAAGGACTGCGAATGATTCAGACGGCTCACAACTGCTCAGCAACCGCTCTGGAAACGACTCCGCTGATGCTTGTGAACCGAACATCCAGCAAATCCAGTAACCGCACCTTAGAGGAGTTGGCCGGATCTTCCCAACTTCATGTGGGCTGCCAAAATCTGCCGGCAGGCCACCTTATTTTAAGCGGCCCCGGCTGTCACGCTGCATGCAACATCGTTCCCACATTCCCGCTGTGTTCCTACTGAGTCCAAGTCGGATGGTGCGGGCTATATCCAAGGATGCCAAGGTTGCTAGCGCACCACCTCAGATGCAGACTACGGGTACACATGCTTTGCGGCCGGTTGTTCTACCAGATTCTACCTCGTTTGCACTGAGCGGAGTACCAAGCGAATGCCCCGTGAAAACAACCTGCAGCAAAGGAGGATTTTGTCATGTTATGTCAAGGCGCCAAGGGTGGGGACCGAGTCGGATCGTTCGCTTCTTGGCCCGCACTCAAGGCAGCGCATTTGCAGAATGCAAAGAAGTGCACCTCCCATCCTTCGCCATCTCCCAGACATCCTCTCTCCAAGACCGCGTGTAGTGCCTCACGGACCTGAAAATGCACAGGGAACTCAGTCAAGATGTAAAAGCAAGCTAGTCAAGCAGTGCATGGGCCTTTTGAGGTTTCTCTACTTTACCCGCGGGGTCCAGAACAAATGATCTTGACGAAAGCAGATGCAGCAAAGGACAAGAGAGAACATGAAGAAAAGAAAACCAATCACTCAATCGCTGAGCCCGCATCGGAGTCGTATGCTCGAGAAAAGCCTTCATGCACCTTGCGCAGAATCCATGACCCCCGTATGCAAAGCACCGCAGCGTGCACAATGGCACCTTGCCCAAATCACCGATCACTCGAGGTATCGCCTGCGCAGTGTGAACAACATGTGTCATTGCTCAAAAAGCGCTTCTTGAGCGCTCGCATTCATGGTACCTGTACACAGCAGTCTTGCAGCAACCCGTTGCAGGTTGCAAGGCCCAACCAGTCGGCAACGGGTTCGGAAGAGTCCCACTGGCGAGTTTGTCCCTTGGCGCCACAAATTACAGGACCTGAACGTTCCTCATTGTGACCCACACGGCGCGATATCGGCTAGCGAAGCCAGAACCGAAGAGCTTAGATGGGCAGCCGCCTTCAACCAGCGAGAGGCGCTCCAGTAATCAGGCGGCTTCTGGGGACTTTGACGTCCTCAATTGTGCCTTTATGAGCCTCCGGGTTTCGCCACCCAGCACTTACCACTCCAACCGAGCTGTTGGATCAGATTTCTCAGAGGCGTCTGGCTCTGAAGGCTTTTCAAAGAAGGCGGTGGCGAAGTTTGACTTCAATAGGCACCGTAGTTGGTAGCTACATAGCGGCATTAATGTAAGCCTTCTCAAACCCGAACAGTTGTCGATTCACAGCATCGGTCGGAGGATCTTGGCTATCGGAACGAAAACAGATCTGCGGCTGAACTAGGATTGCAGTCACCCACCATCGATCGCAACCATCGTCAATCAGCGTGGGAACTTCGACCGTAAGCTCCGCACCGCGATATCGGTCAACACATCGCCAAAGTCGCAGGTGCCGCGAAAGGCGACCACTATCCGCTTGGCGGCCAAAAGGCGCCAGACCTCAGTCCGTGGATCCCACGGTACGGACCCGGAAGCGTCTCCACCTCCAAGGTGGCGGCCCAGCACTCGGTGTTTGTGCTGCCTGCTTCGAGATAAGCCAACCTCGCATCGGATTCTCGCACAATCTCGCACCATCTCGCCCCGTTGCCCTTCCCACCGCCCCACGCTTCTACTTCTACTGTTCCACTGTGCGCCCGGCTGCTCATAGTCAGCAAAAGAGGTACCATCAGCGGCCCCTGACCATGGTAAAGCATTCTATACTACCAGCAAAGTTGTACCCGTGCGAGACGCTCCTTCGGAGGCCTTCATCCATGACAGCCTGCTCGAGCATCTTCCAAGCTCCCTTGCGCACCGACCTCGGCATGCTTGGATGCACCATGTCGCACCGGGACGTCTCCTTCCACATTGGCTGAAATCCACAGAGCTCCGAGCATCAGCTCCATCCCCTGGGCCAGTCGAATCATGGCCTGCATGAGCCGAATCAACAAAATCCTGAATTGGAAGCCGATGGAAACAACAGCTTTAGCTAAATCCGCCGAGGCCTCGGGCCGAGGTGTCTGGGCAGAATAAAGCAGGTACACCCCTCCACCCCCCTCCCCCACCACCCTACCACCCCTACAGTGCCACCCTCACCACCCCCACCCCTACCACCCCACCAAACCCCACCCCACCACTCCCACCTTCCCACCGCGACTTAATTTTACCGCTACACCAGCCGCCTCGACCGGGGCCTGCGCAGCGGCGAGGCAACCCAAACCGGAGATCGCAGGTGTGAAGGTGCTGTTAGGCTTCAGGGCTTCGAGAGGCTTCGTGCAATCATTTAACACGCAAGGGGGATGTGGAAGCAGAGGGGGGGGTGGGGGGCGAATAGACAGGACAGAAATGGATTCAGCTTGGCAGCAGGGAAGGGGAAGCAGAAGGAAGCGGCATCCGAACCCAGGACGGGAACAGAATTCAATCCAGAGTTCGTTCTTGCAGGTATGTGCCTGGTTTTCAAAAGCAACTAACTCTGGACTTTATGATTTGTTTGCTCGGGTCTTCAAAGCAGCTTGGATTGTTTTTCGGTGGCCCGTAAAACAGCAGGCAAGGCATCCGTATCTCGCTTCGTACAAGAGCAAGCCATCGGTATTTCCACTTCTCGAGAATTCAAAAACCGACTGACTCAAAATTTGACTGTTTAGGTGCTGGATGTGGGTAAGCCGTCCCTGTGTTTGTCTCGGGTCTTCAAAACATCTAGCTCCAGAGATGTTTTTGTTTCGGTGGTCAGTAAAAGCAGAAGCCATCGGTACTTCGTAAGATGGCAAGCCATCAGTATTTCGTTGTGAAGGGGCCCAAGCAAACATTTACTCCAGAGTTAATTCCCTTCAGAGAGGGGCTTGAACAATACCGCCAATTAACTCTGGAGTTGATGGTCTCCTTCCTAAACCCGAAAATCCAGAGAATTGTCTGAAGAAGGGGGTCTCCATTGTTTTTCCTACCAGTAAGCTGAAGTCTAAGCCCAGCATAGTCCGAAGCCCACAGTCCTAATCACAGAGCATGCCTGCTGCTTGGCCCGCTTCATGGCCACATCTGCCTGAAAGAGAGAGCAGCTCTCGCAAACTCTTAGTTGCTCGGTCAGCACAGGCCAGGGCCTTCTGTCTCAATGCAGCACGTCCTTCTTCGGAGCTTGCTACCTGAAGCAGTCCGCAATACCCACTCCGACACAGCCAAAAAACCGCTGGGTCACACAAACAATGGATTTCTGCCTCCCAAACGTCTTTGCGCTTCTTCATCGCCCCCGCAAAGTCACCCTTCATCAGCTCGTCGAAACCAGCAATCTCCCCAGCTCCAGACATGATGCCCGCGCCCATTGCAGCAAAGAAGTCTCCTGCACTTTTTTTCTGAGATATCGAAGCCTTCAAAAAGCATCTGCTTGCCAGAAAGACTCTTTGCAGTATCAAAGCATCCCCTTGTGCTTTGCATCCGTTCTCGCTACTTCCAGTGGGAGGGGCTGCCGAGCATATGGCAGTTGCGGGTAGCAATACTGTAGCAATGCTGCCGTCCTGACAGGGTCTCCGCTGCAGTGGCGGCGACGCCCATGGCGTCCTCCAGCTGCGCCTCGCTTGCCGAGCTCAGCCCGCTTCACTCTTCTCTACGCCGGTCGCGCAATCACGCGCCTTACGGTCCGTGCCAAGAAAGCTCTCAACCTCAGACAGTGGCAGAGCAAGCCGCACGTTCTGTGGAGGTCTTGATGGCGCATGGCCGTACTCCACCAACTTCCGGAGTCGTACACGGCTTTCTCGGCTGCGATGGACCTGGACAATTGTCCCAACCGCGGATGCACTGGCAAAGCTGATCCATGAATCCCCAAGTCAACGAGCATCTTACGTCTGCAGGCGCTTCTCAAGAGCTTCACGTCCTGCATAACATGCAGCCGCATCCACACAAACAGATGAATGAAAAAAATGGTTGTGGTACATGTGCAGGCCTGACACCAGACATGATACAAAAGGGGCTGGGGGTGGGCAAATTGACAGGACCCCGACCCGTCACCATGTGAACCCCTTGGTCTCATATGTCTCATACACTTATTCTTATTCTTATTATTATTATTATGATTTGATTACTATTATCATTTCTTATCTTTACCATTCGTTCCTTGCCTGCTTACTTACATCAGCTCACATTCTCCTGCTTTCCGTGGGAAATCTCAGCAGGTCCTTCCCCGAGCCAGGTCAAACCGCGGCACCGCAAAGCCGCCTGGAAAGCTTCTGAGCAAAAGCTTGTCATTGTTGCACCAAACAGCTTGAGCAAAGTGACACAATGTGAGCAATGTGAGCAATGTAAGCCAAGGCCTGAAGCTCATGCTCGCTCATTCGCTGAAGGTCGGGCAGGCGTATCTGCCACATCAAGGCTTTAGACTTAGACGTCGGATTCCCAGTGGCTCCCCAGCGGTTTGCTGCACCAGCGCCGCACCTCTGCTGGCACGTTGCTTCCAAACCTGGCAGACCACAACAAAACCGCTCTGAGCAGGCAAGCATGCATTGAGCGAAGCACCTTTGTCGTCTTGCCCTCGCCTCAAGCATCATATGCATCATATGCAACAGCAAGGCAATGCCTTGGAAGTGGGCTTACCAACACAACGCCTCCGGGGTGACATCGTCTAGCTGCTCATCGGCGCCGGTGCTAGCAGCAGGATCCTCTTTCTGATTCTACAACACAGCATGACGCCCGAGCACAGCCTGCTCTGCGGCACAGCAACTACTCCTCAGGCAACTCGAAGGCATCGTACTCCAACTGGAGGCGAAGCCTGGATGGCGGTCTTTCTTCCCCGTCTTCCTGCAGGCAGAGGCCCAACACCAGACGAGCCCGCAAAGACGAAGAGTGGATATTCCTTCGCTGCGGCCTGTACATCCACCTCCCCCTCCTCCTTCTCATCTGGTTTCAGCTCCACCTCAGTGTGCAAAGCTGTGCAAAGCTGTGCAAAGCTGTGCAAAGCTGTGCAAAGGCAGGCTGCACAGTGGTCCATGTTGAGGCCCTGAGGCATCGGGCGCAGAGCTCCTTGAGCCGCTTCGATGGCGACCAGTCGGACATTGGAATGGAAGCGCGGCCTGAATCTCGTCCAGACACACTCAAAAATCACAACCACTGAGATTAACTTGCAGTTCTCTTCGTGCAGGAAATCTTTGCGACATTTCCATCGTTCACAGCCTCTCGTATGAAATTCGCATTTCCCACTTCCCACTTCCCGTTGCCCGACCCATATCACGGTTAGCAAGCAAACGGTGCATCACAGCACCAATAACAAGTGCAGGACAAGGCAACGATATCGGTGTCGGCTTGAAGCAAAACCAATTGTTGTGGCTTCAGTTGCAGCACATCGAACGGCACGGCTCCAGGGTGCCTAGTCTTTCCATTCATTGGCTTTCCACCTACGCTGGGGTGAACTCTTTAGCTAGTGACTAGTGCTCGTCCTCTTCAGTCGACTCGGTTGGAAACGGAGACGGATGCCCGATTCACCCAAGAGCTGTAGATGTGTTAAGCGCGCTTGGCATCATCGACGTTCGCGAATCACCGTGCTGCGTCGGTTCACACACGGATCTTGGGCCTGCCACGCTCAGGCTGCTGTTGTCCAGGAGGCTACGCCTGTGCACCTCCCGGTGCCATGGTCATTGACACGTCAATGCTCAGCTCTCTTCCTTTTTAAGGCCAGCTGCGCCTCCAAAAATAAGCACGGATCCTCTGTGCTCTCCTCCCACAGACAAGAAGGTGGGAACTTGAAAAAGCAAAGGCCCTCCATGCGCCTCGACCTCGTCGCCCTCAGACCCCGCAAACGCACCTGAGGGACCCGTGCACAAAGCTACAATATCGCTGACGCCGCGCTGACACCTCTTGCTGTTCTTGACGGACCACTAGGATCTGTGAAAAAAAACCTGACGCTGACAGTTTGACTGGGAATAGCTGGGTACCACGAAGAGGTAAGAAGGCCGAGGCCGATGATCACATTATGGGGAGACTCCTCCGGCTGAGTTTGCTGCCTAAGTCCCTGACCTTTGGGCACGTAGAGATACACTGAGTCGTCCTGCACGAAGCCAAAGAACGCACAAGGCACCATGAGCAGTCTAGGCCCACTAGCACTCTGAAAACTTAAGTGGCATACCATGACTCTTTCCCACAGTTCCGAGTTGCCTCATCCAGCCACTGGGCTAGACCATTCAGAACTCCCCGTCTAACCCGGTTGCGCTGAAAACCTGCAAGTGTGCATTGACATCAGCAGTCCCTATGCAGTGCAGGCATCCGTGGCATCCGTCATCAGTGGCTTGTTTTCTCGCGCCTCGCAGGCCACCAGATGATGAACCCGAGGTTGTGCGCAAGAAAACCTGGCAGACGCAACTCCGGGATGCACTTCCCTCAACCTTTCTCAGCGCTCCATCATGGCAGCCATGCCATGGTGGTGATAAGCGAGCATGGGTCACTGCGACAGCTCCAGCCATGGCCACATTGCGCAGGCCTGCAGCTGCACAGGTGTCGGCCCAATTGCTTAAGGCGCACGTGTTCTCGTACAAGGCCGAAGAGTGACTCAACATGTCAGCAAGAATCAAAGATCTTCGAAGTCATTGTTGGTGCCATGGCTCTTAATGGCTCTGAGGAAGAACGCTCCTTCCCTGCCTTCTCCACTCAAGATTCGAACTCGCAGAATGCCGCTGAAGGCGTCGCGCACGAAGCGAGGAGACAGGAGCACAACCTGCACAACCCCGAACCCCTGCTTGATGCGTTCTAAGTATCTCAGGTCTGCCATCATTCTGGCCTTGACCCCCTCTATGCCCACGCGGCTGTTGTCACCAGTGGACACCCAAACCTGGATGTGCGGAGAATTGCGGAGACTTTGCTCAGTGCGGCTCCCAAGGATAAAGGCAAGCGACTCCCTGAGCACGATCGATCTCTGTGTAAGAATCGAAAGAGAACCCAGCCATGACCTCAGCAGGGGATCTGCAGGCTGCTAAGGCTGTAGTACAGCTGTAGCTGTCATCAGCTCTGCTCTCCAAGCGCCCAGCCATACAAAGAGACAAATCTGGAAAATCGACAGGTGTGTCCTACCAATTCCTACCGATTTCGAGCTCCAGCGGCAACCACTCTCACTTCGTCTCTGCTGCTGTTTTTGTCCTTCCCAGTGCCATCAGACTGCCATGACTCACTGGCCGTGTTGAAAGCGATGACCCGAAAGCCTCCGAAAAAAAAAGGATGGTTCACCTCGACTCACCACGTTTCACTGCCGCTCCACCTCGCGGAGAGCTCCTGCGGCTGGGCCTGGACAGCCTGCCAACTCTCAAACTCCCAGAACTGCACAAAAGAACCTCCCCAGAACTTCTTCAGCCCTGAAGCCCTGGTAGCGCACTCGCCTCGCCAGCAAGGTCAATGCTGGGGCCTTGGCTCGCGAGCTTCTACAAGGCGCCTTTCACTCTTCAAGGGCAGGGCTCGAGGCTCGAGCGACAGTGAGAGCCAGAATGGACTTGCTCTGTCTCTCCCCTTTGAAAGTAGCCTTAGATGTCACCACGCCATGACAGGGTAAAAGCGTGGTGCGAGACTCTAAGCACCGAGGCTAGGCTCAAAGCGAAAAATGGATGCGCATGCAACTTTGGCGATGGCACGACATTGGCAGCAACGATAGCCTTGAGCGCAGGCTGCATTGGCTGCATGCCTTGATCCTTGATTTTCCTAACAAGTCGGAGGGTTTGCTGTCAAAGCTGTAGCTGGCGAGCGAAGCCCAGCCCAAAGTGCTCATGTTCCACCGTGGGCATACAAGAACTGAGTCTTTCCTTGTTAACTACGCCCCCAGGTCCTCTGAGCACATGCCGTGCGTCTCTTCAGTCTGCTTCACTCGGCTCTTGTTTCATGTGAAGTTCAGAGTTGCCAAATGGCTGCAGCGAGCATCGTCGCCCTGAAGCAATACTGCTTGCTGCCATGAGCCAACTTGTACAGCTACATTGTACGACTGACCCTGTGGCCTGCACGGATGGAGGAGGAGTGGCAGGCGCGGTGTGCACTTCGGATGGCGGGGGAGTAGCTTCCAGCCCAAATCGTCTGCGGTCCTGCGTGGCGCATTGCGGCACTGCATAGCTGATACCGGCTGATACCCACCCCTCTTCAGACTTCCATACTCGGCATGGGCAGCAGGGGCAACTTCTCGTGCTGCTTTCAGCACGCAAAGCTTGAGGGCATAAGGGAGGCGCCATTACAACTTACTTACGACGCCGTGGTGCAATTCATCCTCCATGGAGAGCGTGGAGGCATGCACCTGGCCTCAGATCAGAATCGTGTCATGCTCTTGATCTCTAAGAGCTTGTCGAGATTTTTTGCATAAACTGATCCCCTCCTGAAGCCCATGAATCTCCTCAGTAGGAGCCAAGAGGAAGCGTTAGGAAGGTACGAACAATCGTAGTCCACAAGGCACAACAAACCTGGCATGTTTGCATTCCTTGGCCCCTCGGCCACTTCAATATAGTTCAATAGCATGCGGGCGACGGTTCGGCTTGGATTCTTTGGTCGCATGGCTGAACAATTTGCTGAGACTGCAGCCATCGAAGGCCGCTCCTGGCGAGCTGTGGTACGAAAGCACAGACCTTCCACTGCGTAGCCCCAAAGCACAGCCCATGTGCTCCATCCTCCTTCTTCTTCACGCGGCTGAACTGCCTGGTAAAGGGCGGGATGTGAAATGGCAAGATCCGGCACTCATGAGCAATAATAGACGGATTCTCTATGCCTCCGCCTGCTCATGGCCGTCTCCTCGCAGGATGCCAGCGCCAGGAACAAGCACAGTGCTGGACAAAGGTGCTCCGGCCTGGGCCCTGCGCCATGCTCTCGATCCTCAGAGAAACGATTCCCGCCAAGATGCGCAAGATGCCCAAGATGCCCGACTTGACAGTGTCTGTACGAAATTCTGCCAATTGATTCGTTGTGTAATCCGATGAGCCGAGGCTAACCAAAGGGCCCGGCGCCTGGACCTGGCGCTGAAGGCGCAGCAGGTGCACTGCCTCATGGAGCACAGCTTCCAGAAGGGTTGCGGAGCCCAAAAGCACAGCATTACAGAAAAACGTTCAGTTCATGAGCGTTCCCACAGCCAGCAGCCACCAGCTACAAGGCAGCTTCAGCACAGCAACAGCGCCGTGGCCTGCTCACGAGCAATTTCCGCGGCCTGCGTCATGGCTGCGACCTCACACCGTACCGCATCCAATCATGAGGGGTGTCCGGGCAACTTCGACAACACAAGGGATTCATTGAACTCGTGCCTCCTTCCGCTTGAGCTCCAAGTACTCGAAGAGATCATCGTCCCCCTCGAGGCCTGTGAGAAATTTCCACGGCATCAGTCTTGAACAGGCTAAACGGCTAAACAGCTCAGCAATCTTTTGAAGTTGGAGGGGGCCTGACTCTTCGGTTCTGGAGGTGGTACCTGCATCATCCGCCATCGCACCAAAGCGACGGTGTGCCTTGCGTTCCTTGCTTTGCTTGTTTACATAATGCTTCATCATGCTGCATCATGCTTCATCATGCTGCATCTCACCATAGACCGATTCATACGGTAGCATGCGTAGGCAGCTTTGAAGAGGGAGTGGTTTCTGGCATGATCTTGTTGCCGGGCATGTCCATGCAAACTGCAACAGGCAAACGGCCGAGAAGACACCTGCTCTGGCCACCTGAAAGTCAGACACCCATCGGTCGAAGGATATGGGGCTCCTTCATATGATTTTATAAAGTGCAGCTAAGACCTGTGGTTAGGGTACTAGGGGTTCTAAAGCGACTTTCTCGCCTGTACCCGAGTATGTGTTGACGCCTACCGCCCGTCCGGGTTCTCCCGGAGAACCCTCTCTGCTCATGCCTGTTCCCCAACTGCAACCCATGCACCCCACGTGCAAAACGAACCCAACTCCACTGGGAACAAACCAAACTTGAAATCTGCGGCTGCGCGGCCTCTTCCTGGCAGTGAACCCATATAAAGTCTGTCCAAGGACCTACTTCTGGCCGATTGCCACATTAGGCCCAGCTCCAGAGCGGTCGAAACGTTGGTACATGCATTCTTGGAAAATCACGGACAATGTCGTCCTTTCGCACCAAGGTGTCCACGCATTGAAACACATGCGTGTCCAAAGCCCAGGCCGACGGCATCTGCTCACCACAGGGAAGCGCGACGCTCAGTCTTTGTCGCTGTAACCATCAACAACTTCATTTGGAAAGTCCAGTCTGGTTCCATCTGCAAAGACGCATGTTATGGTCCTGGGCACATCATGGGCCATGGGCACATCATTGCACTAGAACGCTTTCTTCTTACCACTCGGCTGAGAGAGGCTTATGAAAGCGACCTCAGACCTCAGAATACCTCAGAGCCTCACCAGCTACAGAGATCCCCCTCTTCTGAAGCATGTCGGTGACATGTAACACCATCCTATGATCGTGCTGTGCATTTCGCCGGAAAAGCCATCGGCTCTTGAGTTCAAACAACAGTCGACGAGCGAAAGGAGCAAACTCTGCAATCAAGATGCCTGTCGTTGAAGGCCTTCTCAATTATACATTCCTGAAGTGTCTGTCAATTGAAGGCACTCAAGTCTGACATGATTGCAAACCGCGCCTGCCCACGGCGTGACCACTTTTCGGCCGTGTAGCCATTCAAGGAATCAGCCTTATCAAGCCAGGCTGGCGATCTGCCCCTACTGATTGCTGAGCAAGGCATGCAACTCAGTAGCGAGCGGGGAAACGTCCAAACGCAGCCCGGAAGGCTTTCTCGTTCTGATAGCGCACACACAAACAAAGAAACCAAACATGTACTTTCTTCTCAAGCCAACGATGGCTCTCCTCAAGCAAACGCACTCGTTCTCCAGGCAGAATGAAAGCTCCGCCTAGGTGATGCATGCACTCGGAGTAGCCAGTAGCACATGTTGGACACTGGATCTGCTGTCATCAAGCCAACAACATCAGCTGACATGGTCAAGAAACAAGCGTCAATGACTTTTCCAAAAACTATGCGATGAGTGCTGGAGCCTTAAAGCTGCCGCACGGATCCTAAGAGGGGCGTCGACTGATCGAAGTGTCGTGACACGCTGGGTTCAGTGGATCAAAAAATTTTGCGGACTCAGGGGCTTCAGATGCCCTGCCACATGGCTAAGCTACACCGGGTGCGCAGGTCTCTCATGACTCTGCGACAGTCTAAGCTCTGATGAAAAAACATTGGAACTCATCCACGTCTCCTTCCTGGGTGCACAGTCTCGAATGATCTCAACTAAGCATCCCAGAAATGTCAGCATGCTATGACAGGCTTATTCAGCCCAGGAAAACGCATGTCTTGGAGTTTAAACATTCATTCCATCAAATTCCATCAGTCGTGAGTGTCACCTTGGCTACACGCATTTTCCCTGCACGAACGAAGCACAACATATTGAAATTATAAAAAAACTTGGCAAGCGGCGCTCCCTGGGAAACTCTCTCTGCCTCCCGTTCCAGACACGCCCGCACCTGGCTCCAGACATGGATACACGGGCATACGGCAGGCTGTATATTATCTGTATTGTTCTAAACTCAATGCCTGCAGCACGGTCCCGCAGCTTCCGTGCACACGAAACCACGAAAGCTTCATGAAGCTTCCACCAGGCTTTCAGGTTGCAGGCGCGAGGCACAAAAAACATGCATGCCTTCCTAACCTCCAGCCCGCCACTAGACTAGCATAGAGAGAAAAGGGGGGGTTTCGAACAACTCCTGTTACATCGCTGAGACTCCGACATTGCTCTCGAAGCGCTCCGCATTCGCGCCAGTCCATCGCTCGATGATTTCCCCACCGTGTTCTCCACGTCTATACATGAAGAAAGCAGGGGACACCTTTTTGCGCAGCCATTCACAGCATGATGCAGCGGCAGCGAAAAACTCAGTTATATGAAGGATGCCTTGACGCCCAGTTCTTTCGTGACGAATTCCATGGCACCCACTGTGCCATTGCCAACAAGCTCTACGAAGCGAATGTCTCGAAACCTCATTCGGCAATCAAGGCTGTAAACTTGCCATGCAACCACGAGACCAATTAGAAACATCAACTGGCTATCCTCCAGCCCAATATCTCAACCTTGACATGTGTCACACCGAGAGTGCACCTTACCGATGCTTGGGATGAGTGGCCGAAAGCCCCCAGAAGCCCCTGCGTACTTCATTCCAAGGAGCTCCTCAGAGTACCTGCGCCACTTCGGCTCAAAGGCCCGGCAACTCCGGCAGAAGGTGAAAGTCACCTCCAGTAGAACCACGAGCAACAAGGCTCCATGGTGCGAAAAATAAAGTGGGGGAAAGTGTCTGGGGATGCTCGCACTGCCGCTGCCGACCTTTAGGAGCACCAGCTGCCCGAGCTGCAGCGGGGGATTCACCTCATCACTGCTGCTTGGGCAATGGTACAGCAAACCCTTCAACACAGGATGTGGTCAGCATCGTCAGCATCCGAAACGGCGAGTAGTAGCATGAACATCAGCGGTGTCTTGGCTGCCTTGCCCAGCAACTTCAACGCCCAAAATACGGAGTGCAATCATGAGCATCAGCTGTCAGCTGAACCCTCGCTACCTTGAGCATCAGGTCCCCGCGCTGTTTCAGGCCCAAAGCCACTTAAAAATCCTTGGAACTGTGCCAAAAAGTGCCGTGGCCCAGGATTGAGAAGAGATGCCTTCGGATGCCTTTGGGTATGGCTTGGGGAATCCCTTGACCCGACGTGGTGACCTCGTGCCCTCGCCCGAAGGCTCAGCGTGGCTCAGCAAAATTAAATGAAAGGAAAGGGCCAAAGCACCACAGGACTTTGTTTTGTGCAGCACTGGCCATCTCGTCTGGGCTGCGGACATTTGTGATGATGCTTTGCCAGGCCTTTGCGCTCGTAGTCACGACGCACCTGGCCTGCCGGTCGACACAAAGTCGCTGGACTCAGTGCAACTGCGAAACCCTTTGACCGCAACAAGGCCTCAATGACATGCTTCCGCCACCAGGCCAGAAACTCAGTGAATGACACGACACCATCCTTTGTGGTGTCTAACTCCTCCACTAGCCTTGGAAGGCCATGTGAGATCTGGCACTGGAGCCGCACCAAATCGCACCAACCAGAGATCTGCTGGAAAGAGGCTTCTCCAGTTCGCGTTCCAGGCCCAGCAGTGCCAAGGCACGCTGCAGCTCCTGGGATTCAGCGGCCAGCAGGAAGTGTTCGGCCTGTCACTATTGTGGACCAGATGCGTCAGGTTGAAGTCGTCTATCTCCGTCCTTGCTTGTTGCAAGAGATCATCCACACAAGGCTCGGACAGGATCTGCAGGCAGGCTGCCACATCCATTTGATCAAAAATCGCCTGCTTGCAACATTCAGACAACACATCGATTCAAAATCAGCTCATGGAAGACTGCAGAACTCAGCTTTAAGTGTTGACTGTGGAACAGGCAAGATAAATGTCTCTCACTTATTGTGCTGGTTCAATGTTTGATTCTTAGGCTTCCGTTTTTCCATAGCCAAGGGCTTGTGCTCAAAGAGGGAGTGCTTGCAAACCACGGGCTGTGCACGCACATCATGGACTTTTCGCTAGAACGTGCGGGGTGGGGTGGTCGGGGTGGCGGTAAAGGTAGTGGGGGGGGTGGTGGGGAAGGTGGTGGGGAAGGTGGTGGGGGGGTGGGGGTGGGGCGGTGCGGGGCTGCTGGTAGGGCAGGCTGGTGGGGCAGGCTGGTGGGGCAGGCTGATGGGGCAGGCTGCTGTGGATGGTGGGGCAAGCTGGTACCGCAAACTTGTGGGGTTTGCGGATTCGGGCTTCGGTTGGATTAGCGTAGGGCTTGGGGTTTACGGATGAAGGTTGAAGATTTGGATTTCCGGTTTGGGGTTTAGGGCTTTGGGGCTTTAAGGTATATGGGGTTTGTAGGGCCTGCAGAGTTTGTAGGGTTTATAGGCATGGAAAGGCTTGCTAGAGAGAGGGGCCTTTGGACGCAAGCGAGAAGGCCCACGCGAGGGCCCCTTTTTGCCTGCAAGTCGGGCCCAGTTCGTAACACAAGCTGTTGCGGGTCAAACGTGCGAGCAGTGCGTTTCTGGAGAGAGGGTGGGAGCGGAGGGAGGGGGCCTAGGACGCTTGGCGCCCATTTGACGGGAATGCGCTTCGCAAGAAACTTCAATGAAAGTCGTGTTGTTGTTGGAAGTGTGGGTGGGGTGCTATGGAGGGTGTGGTGTGGTTTGCAGGTGGGAAGTGCATGCTAGATTCCCTTCTCAATACTGAAGAAGTCAAGTACGGTGCCCTGAACAAAGGCACCAGTCAGTCCCACATCCTGCCTCACGAGTCCTTCTCGAGGTAATCACTTGTCTTATGTTACGTGTCAGTTTGGCAGCAGCCAGCTTTTGCTTGTCAGGGTGCGGCGGGGATGTGGTGTGAGGGGCGTGGGTGGGGCGACGAGGGAATTCCGAATCTTTTCTCCAACAGTTGTGCGCAAGGCTTGTAAGAGAAAAGGCGGACAGAGCATTTATGCCCACTCAGTAAGTACACACCCACACACTGAGTTTCTTGGGCTCGCAGTGGTAATGGTGGTGCTGCTGGTGGTGCTGCTGGTGCTGCTGCTGGTGCTGCTGCTGCTGCTGCTGCTGCTGCTGCTGCTGCTGCTGCTGCTGCTGCTGCTGCTGCTGCTGCTGCTGCTGCTGCTGCTGCTGCTGCTGCTGCTGCTGCTGCTGGCCAGCGCGTTGTCGCATAGCTCACAATTGTCAAACACACGGGAGGGGGGGGGGGTGGAAGGGGGGCGGGGACCGGGGGGGAGGCCTGTAAACAACCCTCTCTAAACCAAACCCAATAAGGTCTAAAAGTCCACACCTGTAAACCCTAAACCCTAAACCCTAAACCGCCCCATAAGCCCTGTGTGTTGTGGGCCATGCTTTGTTTTTAACATGGAGTTTCTGTACATCAAATAATAGCCGGCCTCAAGCTGCACTTCCGAGAGGTGCTGCAGGATCTTGGAGTCGTGCAGGACCCCATCCAGCGCCCGCCTCGCCTGCTTTTTTTTGGTCAGCTTCTGCAGTTCTGCTCCCTTTTTTGAAACTTGAGCAATTTTCTTCCTTTCCCCAACTGCCTTTCTCCTACCTTAAGCGGTCATACGGCCCCCTGGGTCTTCGGGTTCGGGGGCTTGGGGCTTCTTATGGGCTTACGGCTTAGGGCCTTCGAGGGCTTCCGGCTCAGGGATTTTGAAGGCACTTCACTTCGCAGGTCTCTGCTGGTCGTCTCCATGCACCTGGCTGATCTGCAGCTCGAAGATGGCATCCAGGGCCATGCCTCGCACAATATTGACCTCCTCCTCCGACTCGGCCACCACCATGTCAGCACCCCTGCAACACGCTCGAAACACTGTTATTGAAACACTGTTATTGAAACACTCTCGTTTCTGCGGCGATTCAGGCAGGTGTCCGTCATTCATCCCTCAAGGGTATTGGTGAAACAAGCGCCCGTCGGCTGGCATGGAGTAAATGGAGTGGAACGAAAAGAAGATCGTGTTCACGCGGCCTCTCCGCTGCCTTTTCCTTCGTCTTTGCCAGGCGCGGTGACCCCATCAGTGCCTGCCACACGGGCTTCCGCGGCTGCCATCCAAGAAGCTGAAACAAGATAAAATAGCGAACTCAGAAAAACTCACGGAATCAACACCTCGGAGATGCATCGGTCGGCGCTGGCAATCCTCCCTGTCGGCACAAGCACCAGGCGACCCAATCCTGACACTCACGGGCTGCAGCCTGAGCGAAATGCGCAGCCTGCCCCCGTCCTGTGGGAACCGACTCTACGATTTCGGCAAGGTAGTCGTCCAGAAGTGACACCCACTCTTCAAACGACTCCGTTCCTGCATTCATTGATTGGCTTTCTTGCTCCGTGTGGGGAGAGTACAAGATGTACAAGGTGAGAAGTTGACATGTACATAAAGGCATAAAGGTGTGCCTGTCATAGGTGGTACAAACTTGTAGTCCCCCGCATCCTTGGCCAGAGAAGCGCGCGATTTCTTCTTCCTCCCTACAAGTTCACTCAACAGGCTGACTATGTAAATATTATGTAATCCCAGCTGCGCTGGGCAAGTTTGCGTGCCGGCTCCTCAGACGCAAAACCACCAGGCTAGTCAACTTCATGTTTGGGCACTTGCAAGTGCACCTTCCAATTCGACACCGCAGAACCATAGCTCCAGCGCCGAGTGGCGATGTGAAAAGGTCGTTCAGCGGGGAATGTCGCACCCGGCGGCCATCATTGAAGAGAACTGCGCCGATGTTTCTGCCCAGGGTGCAGACCTCCAGAACAGCACAAGTCTTGGGGCAGATGCTGCGTCTGAGTCTGGACAACATGAGGCATTTGCCAGGATGGTCTTCTTTCCTGAGATGTGCGCACAAACGGAGCATGCCCCAGCAGAAACAAAGCCGAATGAGAAGTTAGAGCCTTCACATCTGCCTCATCGGCTTTGCAACAAAGGGAAATAGTCTGACGCGACCAAGCTGCGCCAAACGTCCGTAGATCTACTGTCGCCCCAGACCAGTTCATGGTATCCTGCAGGAAATGAGCTTGCAAAGGCAGCACTTGTATTCTGAGCCCAGGACGTCTGCTTGCGGTCCTGCCCCCACCGTGTGGATGTCCACATGAAAGAAGGCCACCTGTCCCCGTCGGTTCAAGCTCTTGCGCAGTAGATCTTGAACCTTGGCACCGTGGCACGAAAGCCAGAAGCGGAAGCTGGATTAGCCCCAACACATACGGGCATGTCCCATGACGGGGATACCGAGACAACGGAGTCCCCAAAAGGGTTCCCCATACTTGCAGCAGGACCACCTTTTCCCGTCGACTCGGATAGTCACCATCGTCATCCTGGAAAGGGCTTCGTCTCTGAGCGCACTTGCAAGGGAATTCCTTTCCCTGCGCCCACTTCGTTCCATGGACAACCCGCCTCAGTCAAGTTCTCCATCAACGCCTGGCTCAGCATGCATTGGTAAGAACCCAACTCTGTAGCATCAGGATAAACCAAAGATGCACGATGCATGTGATGAAGCTGGTGTGGTGTGTGTCCGGCCTTGGTGACTGAGCAGCCGATGACCTTGTTCCATCCAAAGTGCTTTCTAAGCTGCTGCAGCGTACCTGGCAACTTGGCAACTGCCTCATGTGAGAACATGTGAGAACAGGGAGCGCAGACACCCCAACCTGTGACGGTCGCGATGTTCTTCTTCGTGTCGGGCCCAAGCTCATGGCGAATCCGGAAGGGCTCGCCTGTGAAATGTAGACCCTACGGATCTGATCTCAATAAGCTTGGGGGAAGTTCAGGCTCTTAGAGGCTTAGAGGCTTCGAGGCTTAGAGGCTTCGAGGCTCAGAGGCTCAGAGGCTTAGGGCTTTTTTGGGTTTAGGAGGGTGTTTAGGGCTTCGGGTCTGGCAGCCCCGGGGCCGGTCAGCTGCCCAGTCTGGACATTCACCGGCGCCGCAATACCCGAGGTTTGGCGCAGCTCCACCCCAAGAGCCTCCACCTGACGGGTCTCAGAAAATCACTCTGACAAGCCTTTTGCCTGGAAAAGGAGGCTACACATGGCTACACTCACAGGTGATCACGTCGAAGAGCCTTCGGAAGTTCGGACACGGACACCTCACAGTTGCAAGCAAACCTGTGACTCAGCCCCCCAAGGTTCGGTGGACTGAGATGGACTGAGCATCTGAATTCAGGCCAGGCTCCAAAGCACCTGTCCTTGGTCAACGAAGCTGCCCTGCTGCTCAGGTCTTTTGGAGAAGACACGAGAAGACCAAAACATTGCAGCTTAACATAAGAGGAGGAGCTCTTTGGGCGCCAGGGCCTTCCAGCAGCGGAATGGGAACTACAAGTCATGTGACTCATGTGTGTCATCTGGATTTTATCCCCCCCTTCCCTGAGACCATAAGGCACTAGAATGCCCCCGGATTGAAAGACGCAGTTCGGCGTCGTTGGATGACTTTTTTGTGCTGCCAGGCCTTCACGGCCAATCGCTTTCGCTGCCCATGTCCAGAGATTGCTATTGCCGCAGATGAGCATAGAAGTGCCTGAGCAGAACAGTGAGCAGAACGGCTCAATGTGGTTTCGAGATGCATCACCCTTGACCTTTGCATGTTTGCAGCAGAGGGGCCGCTTTGAAAGAAGTTCTGGTCCGAGTCTGTGCCTGGCGCTTACACTGGCAGGTGATACGCATCACAACTCGTTTGTTCTCTGAATTCGGAAGCCTCTTTCCTCTCAACTAGCAGTGTGAGATTGCTGCCTCCATGTCATGTTTCATGCACCTCTGGGGTCACCTCAGTTTCCTGTCGGTCCTAGTTCGATATCTGCGGCTTAGGCAGGCTCCCTCATGTCTTCACACGTGTCGCCTCGTCTCTTCTTCTTTGTCTTAAAGCTCCCAGATTTGCACTCAGCCTGCACTCAGCCTGCACTCAGCCTGCACTCAGCCTGCACTCAGCCTGCACTCAGCCTGCACTCAGCCTGCACTCAGTGTCTCCGCCAAAAAGAAGGGCCGGCCTCGGCCAGAGGCGGCCCGAGAACCACCGTCGCCGGACGCCTGAAGACCCAGACTATGGCCGCTACTGCCTGTCTGAAGACGGCAAACAGCATTCAACAGCTGCAAAGAGAGCATCTTCCACTTTGTACAACGCAACTAAGATTGTAAGCCATGCGCCTTGGTGTTTTTATTGCAGCCGTGCATTTTTTTTGCCCACCTTCCGGCCTCTGCAGGGTTGGCCGTGACAGAATGGGTTCGGCCAGAGGCTGCATGGCAGGTCCTGACAGTGTCGAAACGCACTGTGCTTCCTATGCGCATGTCGTTTCGCTACTTGCTCTCCTGGCGCGGCTGAGGAAGTCTTCAACGACTTGTGCTGGCTTGTGCCGTGAGGCTTTATCAACAGCACTTGTTCTGTAGCCAAGAGCACATGCGAGCTTTCGTAGCGTGTGCGATCAGTGGTTGAGTGAAGAATCGGTATTGCATTCAAAGGGCGCTGGCAACAGTACAGCAGTTAGGTCTCGGCTGTCCATGCCCATGCTGCCGGATGATGCAACAACTCAAGCCAAAAGGTCGAAGCCTGGCTGGAAACAAGCAAGGCAGGTCGGCAACAGCAAAAGCAGCTAACAACAGTGTGAGAAGTCGCCACTAGTCACCAGTCACAGCACGCAGCCGTGCAAAGCACAATGACGTGTAAGCTTCGTTCACCGCTCCGAGCCCAAGGCCCTTCTTGCCGTCTCGTATGGCCTTCAGCTTCCTCCGACCCTGGCAAGTGCAGAGCCGAGAGCTTCACGATGGCTTTTCTTGAACTTCAGAGGCCTTTGGAGCCGTTCAAAGGAAGACTTGCTGGCAGCCATTCTATGGGCAGGACTGAACAGGGGAAAGCAAGGAACGATGTGAAACCCCTCTTTCATGTCTGTTGGTGACTTTTGCGACCGGGCACAGAGCGCCCCAGTCAACCGGCTCCACGTCGACCACGTTTGACAGGTCTACAGCGAAGCCTTCTGCGAACTGTCAACAGCTGCCGGAACTCTCCAAAGGACACTTGTGTGTGTGTGTGTCTCAATCATCTGCTTCTCATGTCGGTACCGGCACTCTTGCACAGTCGCGAATTTTCAGTGACGACAGTGTTGGTTCCTCACTGAATTGAAACAGTTAGTTGCCTGATGAGTTGGAATGCCCGTCTTCGAATCTGCGCTCTGGCAGAGCCAAATCCGTGAGGACACATATCAATGGGCATCACAGACTTGACCTAAAACAACCCTCCCCTTTATCTTTCTTCGCTCTTGCATGTCAAATCAAGTGTATACAATCGAAGGCGTGAGTCACGCCCCAAGAAATGCAATCCGTCGTGGTGCACGATGGTTTAAAAGTGGACTGCCAAGCACAAAACTCATGGCGATTGATTTATGCATGCGCTTCTGGCTCAGCATAAATTGTGGGCTCATGATTGAGCGGAATCACACTTGCCTTACTTGTTGCGCTGGCAAGGGGAAAGTATCTGGCCCCAAAAATGCATAGCCTCAACAGGCGTCATGACATGTTTTGCCCAAGCTTCATGTACTTTGGGGACAATCGCTTCTCGAGGTCCTCGACCGATCCTCAGCTGCCATCTTCTACCATCCATCTTGCCCCAAGAACAGTCTCTGCAAAGCCCTATAAGGCTCTGGCCAAATGCAGCCTGAGCCGAGAGCACTGGCTAACACCGACACGCCATGGACTATCACGATTTCCCGGCTACAGCGCAAAGAGGCGCAAGGCTGCTCTTGGCAAGAGGCGAAAACGACCGAAGAGACCTGAACCAGACTCTTCCGCGTCTGGTACTTGTCGTGCGGACCAACGGAAACAACATGAAACAACCGCGAAAGCCTAGATGCAATCAAGGCGACGAGTAGGCAGGCGGCAATGATGCCCCAGACCAGTGGCCAAAGGCCCGTCGCTTGAAGCAGCGTGGCAACGAGAGCAGGCCCCGCTGCACCCGGCAGCGTGGCCTTTCGGAAATCCCGGCTCGCCATGTTACCATGTCACTAACCTCTCTCACCTCTCTCACCTCTCTCCTCATCTTTCTTCAATTTCCAGCCGCTACAACCACATGGGGCTGGTGCAATAGCGTTGCCGAGACTGACGAGGGCCGCCGCATCGCTTGGTGCCAGATCCAGGTAGACGGCATTCTGCGCTGTGTCCAAGACGCCTATGGACCTTCAGCGCACGCAACTCCTTCAGCTCATTCAATTCTAGTGACTGGTGCCTCTTGAAGCTCCTGCATTTCAGCTCAGGCCAGATCAGGGCCGCAACTGCAATGGCCAGGCTGGCTGTCAAAGCATCCTGCATGGTTCCGAAGATTACCTGACACTGCCCGAAAGGTTTCAAATGAAAGTTTCGCTTCAACGCTTCAAGCAGAAACAACACGACGGAACATGCCACTTCATGAAATTTCTAGCTGCGCCATGGGACCAGCGAAATACCAGCCCCGATGGCTGCGGGACATAAGATCCTGCATCCAGGATCAATGACACTTAAGCCCGAAACACCTTGTTCATGAATATTCCATCATAGTTGATCGCATTTCGTCATGCTGCGACCCTGTCCATTGACGCAAGGCCAGAAGCGGCCAACGACGGCTCTGAAGCCAATCAGTGAGGAGCCCGCCAACCACGGAGCCAGCACCTCGCCCAATGCATCCCCAACAAGCAGAAGCGACACTTGTTGAGGTGACGAGTTGACATGCTTAGCAGGCCTGAGAATGCCGCAGGCAGCATGAGGTAGAGCCCAACACTTTCAAGTGGAAGCTGCAGTACCTTGGACAAATCAGCAGAGACCTTGCCTCGATTAACTTGACCATACCCCCATATCTATGTTCCTTTCTACAGGACTCCCATGCACCAGCACCAGCTCTGCGCATGCCGTGACCACAGGATAACTCAATCCTAGACACCTCTGTGAAGTAGGAAGGTCCCCATGACCTGCAACAGGAGTGATGAACGTGCAGCATGAAAAGTGTGAATGAAGGAAAGGAAACTCTTTGAGCACAGAGCATAATGGTGTACATGGCGAAGTTGTTGCTGCCTCAGTTCTAGAAGCACACACGAACACCCTTGCTCTTTGCAGGACGTGAACAAAACCAAGCGGCAGCGCAATCGTACAAGCTCATCAAGCACTTCAAGATGCACGACAGTTCTTAATAAGAACATGGTAACCTGTCTGACTGCAGCAAAGCGACAGTGTACCAGAAGTAGCGCAAGAAACCCTCTATTTCTCAGCCTGGCTGGACATAGCAAGTGGTTAAGGTATGTTTGTGCTCACACCAAAAGGAAACAACCGACACTAACAACACTGAACCAGCCGCCAAGCGTCGCATGCAGTGGCACTAAGCCAAGGACTATCTTGCCGCCTGGACCACAGAACACCACAGAATTCCATGGCTGCACCGATACCAGTAGCATGCAAGCTCGAAGCAGCTGAAGGCCTTGGACGGGCGGCTGTCCATCTGCGGAGGAGTCCTGCCAACACACAAAGCCACCAAGTGACCCACGTGACCCAGGCACACACAAAGCTCAAACGTGGTTTCAGTCCTCCGAGATCTTCCGTATTTCTACAATCCTGCCTTCTCTCTTCGTTATTGCAAAGCCCAGCCAAAGCATGGCGAACCTTACTTCCCGCCAGCCCCGAGACAAATCTGAAACTCCATCCACAGCATCAAACGAAACATTGCATATTGCATCATATTGCTGTTGAGGCTGCATGAAGCTCACGGTGCCAAAGATGCAGAAGCTTGCTCGCCAGCCGGCCTGCCACATGCATCACACAGCCCAGGGCTGCAATCTCTCTCTGTACACTCTCTGAGTGAACACATTCTACAGCTTCGACGAACGTGCTTCGACTGCGCCTGCGAGCAAATTAGCGGCGCCATTACCGATGCCACAATTTGCCCAAATCGGAAAGCCATTGCACGTGCTGCAAGTGAACATCCACGTTCGGATGCCTGGGCAGCTTGGCTTGCAATTCGTGAAGCCGAGCTTCGACGCAATGTCAACTTAAGCTGCCAAACGCAGCACCATTGCTGCTTGGAGGGCCGGGACGTAAGCAGAGATCAGCTGCATGGTGGTTGGCATCACCGGCGATTCGGCTAGTCCGAGCAGAGTCAGGAGAAGCCAGACGTACCAGAATCCGAGGTCCGAGGCCAGCCTCAGCTTAGGACATGGCCACAGAATGTCACAGCCAGCAGATCACAACCACGTCTCCAGTCCTCCATGTCCTACTACTCGCTTCCAGGGCTGCTCACTGGATCACAGTGGGTGGCTACCCGTGGCTGCAGAAGAGGCACGGAATGGCGATTGCCAGCGCGCTCCAGGAGATGGCAGCGAAGGCCAGGACCATTCCGGCACCATATTGTGCGGACACGGCCCCTGAAGGGACAGCGACATGAGGACAGCGAAATAAAGGGCAGAATATCTTCGGGCCTGCGACCATTTCGATTGCTTCTTGCAGCAAAGCCACCGGCAAACAGGTTCCCAGCCAGGTAGCCCCAAAAAAAAGATCCCAGCAACATGCCCTGGCGCAGTCAGGCAGAGCCCAAACACTTCGTGCTCACGGTGGCATTATGTAGCATTCCCGCCTTGAACTGCACATCCCAGTGGTACTCCTGAACCATCAGCACCTGAGCAGCAAATGGGAGCTGCCATGATCTGAAAAGCAAGGTTTAGGCGGTTTTGAGATTCGCTTGCCAGGACTCATCCAAGGCACGGCACAAGTTCCTTGAACAGGGGATGATCAACTGCTTCTAAAAACGAAGCCGTGCTTCTACGTTTGTTTACTGCTAACAGCGTTGCCAGCGTTGCCAACAACAAAAAGTCCCAGCCTAAGCAAGCGCGCAGGAGGTAGTTTGAGATGCAGACTCCGGCCTTTGGCAAGAATGTGTGTACATATATATATATATGTATGTATATATGTATGTACATATGTATGTGTGTTTGGTTGTGTGTATGTATGTATGTATGTATGTATGTATGTATGTACGTATCTATGTATGTATCTATGTATGTATCATATACATTCTCACACATATTCGTTCTACATACACAGCACTTCACGAGATTGCTGAAGTGTTGTCACAGCTGGATGATTCATCCCAGGCGACCATAAGCATCTGCATCCGGACTCGTGGGACCTGAAGTCTTGGTTTGAAGACGACGCCGGTCACGGCGGTCACACTACACTCTGCAGAACTTCACTTGGACTGCGGATGGTGGTTAGCATGCAAATTTGCTCAGTACATCTACATCCGGCATAAGACCGGTACCAGGTGGGTCCAATGAGCATACAAGCTCGTGACCTCACACAAGCAAGGCTCCGCATGCTCTGCCTGAGCCAAACTGCCAGATCGAGGTGACATGTTAAGCCCGGCAGCTCTGCAGTAAGACTGCGGAGCCTTCAAGGATCTGTCCGCCAAGCCTCAAAGCCAGTCCAGTCAATCGGAGGCATGAGGAAGCTTCAAGTCTACTCTCATCCAATGTTTGCTGCGTAGCGCATACGTCGCTCTAAGGATCGTGCGAATTGCATCGGCAACCAAGATGGACTTGTCCACCGTCATGTCGGCAGCCCACGCGCGCCCCCAAGCGTACAAGAAGTATGATGCTTGACGTCGTCACTGTCGACCAATTCAGCAAAAGTAGATCTACTACACAAGTACCCCATGGTTGCCTTTCGTTTTGACGGGTAAAACCAAACACAACATGGGTCATGTGTGCGCTTCGAGCGAGATGATGCGGGATTGGTAAATGTGTGCACCAACTTATGCTTACACATTCCAAAGGTCGCTACAAACTGGGGCCTGTGATCCAAGTTTGGAGTTCGTCTGGAACTGCTCAATGAGATTCATGTCCTGAGTACAAACGACGCACTTCCGCCAGAGCACCATACTCCTAAAAGACTTACAGTTTCAACCACTCCAGTGGTCAACGCTGAAAATTGGCTACTTCATTTGAAAGCCAAGCCAGTGTCCTTAAACTTCTCGGCCAAGTCAGTCCACTCGTCCTGTCATTTAAAAGGCTACACCATGTGCGATCAGCCGCTGATTTGCAACTGACGGATTCGGAAACTGGGAGACATGATTCGGGAAACTGAAAAGTGGCTTCCGGAAACTAAAAAAACGTGGATTGGCGAAACTGGCACTACGGATTCTGGAAACTGGAAGCTTCGGGAAACTGACACAAGCGCACTCGGAAACTGCAGATTTGAGACAGGAAACCATGGGCGCGGAAACCGCTCACGCAGGAAACTGGAATCGGGCAGTTTTCTGAATCGGGATTGTTCCTGAATCGTGGGATTCAGTTTCCTGCATCACGGAGTTTCCAGAACGGATCAGAACCACGCTCTTTCTTGATTCCAAGCTGCAACTGCAACTATCACGCAGAGATCGCAAAACCAAGTATCCTCGGTCATCAGTGTCCCGGAGAAGTTCAGCTTCACGTCCTGCGAGGACCGAGGACCACTTTGCAGCATCACTGTGGGGGGCTCCGAGGGATCCTCCAGTTTTTGAGTTGGTGGAGGCGGTGGTGCTGGACTGGGCGGACTACTGTCACCTGATGCAAGAGCATGAGCATGTGGCACTGCTCAGGGCACAACTGGAAGCCAATGCCGCATCGCCTCGCAGGCCTGTCACCTTCAGCATGTTGCATCCGAGTACTCAGATGCCTCGATTCAGAAACTGCAAGCAGGAACCTGCCGCCCGGCGGCAACTGCTTCAGCCTGTTGGTGGGAAGAGCAAGGAAAGCACACTTGAAAGATGTTGCTTGCAAACAACTCGCGCCTCTGACTTGGCAGCTGCTAGGTTGGCGCGTGCCGCGGCCAATTCCGCACGTGCCTTTGCAACGACCGAGTCCTCGCCTGGACGAACCTGGCAGGTCAGATTTGGTAGAATATGTTGGAAGGGCTCAGCAGCATCACTAGAGCCAGACCAGAGCACATCAGCCAAGCCCGCCTCCACCTGAACGTCCGCCCCGAATGCATCCTCGGCTTGGCCCTCTGCCGCCTCTCGCTGAGCGCGAGCAACCTTTACTTCCTCCTGACAGTTCACATCACTTCACATCACTTCACCGTGTCCATCGCTGCCAGACCCAGGAAAAATTGCTCGAAGAACAAAAAGCACAACTGTGGCCTGTAGGTACAAGAGTCCAGACCGGAGGCACCGGAGGCACCCGCGAAGCTACCAGAGATGACACCGCTTCGAGCCTCCTCCTTGGCAGCTTCGCGCCGCAGGGCCTCCCATTATCTCCCTTCGTGGGGCTCTCAGGATTAACAACTAAGCAAAGCTCGGCACGGCATTCACACGCCAGCGTTCGCCTCAGCCTGCGCGAGGAGAGCTGCCACCTGCATGTGGTTCATGGCTTGCATTGGTGTTCTCTGGTCAGAGGGAAAGTTTCTTGCGAGTGGACATCGCATCTGGTCAAACCCCATGTCAGTACCCAATCGAAAGGACGAGTTCAACGAAGTGGACGGCTGGGTATCAGCGATCGAAGGATTGGAGTGATGCAGGCACCTCATCGGCATCTTCCGCCAGCATGATCACTCGGCTCGGCGCTTGGCGCGGGCGCAGTCCCACGAAGGAAGGACTCGCCTGGAGCATAGGGAGTACGCTGCGTACGCCCTCAACACTGAAGCTGCCGGCCAAGCTTGCAGCAATGGACGCACCTCGGCATCATAAGCGCCCCGGGCCACCAAACACCGGCCCAGCAAAGCTGCACCTCAGAGCCACTCTGCTGGATTTGTGACCACAACGACACGGACCGAACATGACCGAACTCAATTACTCAATTCTGAGGAGTGGCAGGCTACCAGCAACAATGATGTGCTTGGATTTTGCCGCTGCCGTCCCGCCATGACTTGTTCAAGGTGCTGTGCTGTTGGTTTCTTGCTTCATGCTTTGCTTGGCCAAGTGCTTGGTTCGCAGGCAAGGCGAGTCAGCTAAACTCGAATCGTGTGACGAGGCCAAGTGGTGCAGGGTTCGCTTGTTCCTCGCCGCACGGTGCCAATAAAGGCTGTAACAGAGCCGCGTCTTTAACTTGCATGAAAGCTTGATCTGAGCTGAGACACCACGGCGACTTTCGACGTTAAAAAGACATGGTGCAACCAACTTCAAACCACCTTGCTTCTGTCGCCTCAGCCCTGGCCGTTTGGCGCCCAGAGGCTCATCTTCTACCCGTTTACAACGAAGGCTTGGCACGGCGCGCCTGAAAATGTCACACACTTGCTTTGACTGGGGATCGCCGGCCCGACCTACCCGGCGATCCCAATGCTCTTGAGCCTGCCTCCAAGCGAGCCCCTTAAAGTCTCGAAGCCCTCCGTCACACATGACCCCTCAACCTAAGCTCTTCTCCAGCCCGAAGCAAAGCTGAGCCCAAAAGCTACCCATCCCGAAAGTCTCCACTCCCAGCAGTCACCAGCTTTTTATGCTTCTTTGAGGGCATATTGGCTCAGCAACTCATCAAGTCTTCGCTCCGGATGTTCAATCAAGTCAGGATCAACCTGGTCGAGGTCTCGAGGCTGGGCAGAAAGTGAACGGAATGGAGCGGATACAAGTTACAATCACGCGAGAGCACAAGCCTGCAAGACACTGCTGACCACATTACTGGACTACTAAGCACTTTGGCGTCACCGCCTCCAGAACTTCGCATCCACGGGGAACTAAAGCGGGTAGACAGAACTTGTACCGTCTCCTCAACGTGACAAGGTGCCCAGTCTCTCAGCTCGGCAAGTTCAGTCTGACAGTGGCTGCCCTAAACTGAGCCAGGCGGCAATGTGTTCTCAAGGATGGTGACCTGAGGCAAACCCAATCGGAAAGCACGGCCGCCACCAGAGTTATAACTCCAAGCTATAGGCCTCCTATGCCCTTCTGGTGTTCTAAGCGCCAGACAAGGGCCCGTGCACCGGTTCCCTCTTTGGCGGCCTTCTGTGCGACGGCGCGCAAGGCTGCATCCGTGAAGCGGAGCCTCCGAGCAACGAAAAAAGTTGTAAGAACAGCACCCACTTGTTGCAATGAGTGCGAAGAAGGGAACGACACGAAGTGAAAGGCCCTTCGTGCCCCGACTTGCTCACACAGTCTCGTTGCAGCTGTGGAGCTCGATTCCATAGCGCCGGAAATCGTCCGTGAGCTGAGACGTTGCCTCGGCCATGTGGAGTGGAAGAGGAACCCCCCCCTCTCCGTACCCTGCGCAAAGCAGACCGCCATCTGAGAGTGTCCTTTCTTGCGGCCCAAGCTGCACCATCTTCGGCTGTCCTGACACATTGCGTTCTGCCGAGCAAACACAAAATGCTCCTGATCTGACATTGCTCACAAGAGGCACATAAGCTGCAGGGGGTAGAATACTTGGCCGAGCAGCGTCAGTACCTGGAAGAGATCTTCGTCTGAGAGGGCTTGCAGAGCAACTCTGACTGGCAATCGACCCACGAACTCCCTCTCCATGCCAGCTTTGACCAACTCTTCCTTAGATTTGCTTTCGCCAAACAGAACACTCACAATGCAAAGCTGATGACATACCGGCGCCGACGCGAGAGCCGAAGACGCGCACCCAACTGATCCAAGACTCCGTGTCGGCCTGATGCAAGGGATCACATGAAAACAATACGAAACCATGAAGCCTGTTCCAACACGCTCGGGCGAACGACCCTCCTGAACGTCCGAACGTCCTCGTCAAACAGGCGCGTACACCGTACACTTGCATCGTATGCTGACACCCCCCAACAACGTCGAGGAGCACCATGGAGCAACCCACACCCAGAACCACACAGCCGAAGCCTTGAGGACCCGGAGCAGAAACCTCTTTAGAAGCCGTCTCGGTGTGAGACATGAATGCGTATGACACTTTTTCTTTCTTTCTTTCTTTAGGGGCGCGAGGTGCAGCCCAGGCCCTGAAGACCCCCCCCTGCCAGAAACATACAACGATCCGTCGAGCCCTCTCTGCAGGGTTCACTATGGTCGCGTCTGAGACTGCCTCTACATCTACTACAGTAGCTTGTTAGGCGGCTGCCCAGCGTGTCATACCTTCTTCCCTATCTGTCTTTGCTTTTTTCGTTGGGGCTTGTGGGGTTTCCGCCTCGTGCAAGATGCACGGTCCATTGCATGTGATATCTCACCCAGCGTGTGATGCCTTCCTTCCCTCCTGCACGCGCAACCCCGCCCGGAGTCAACTTGTCTGTGCGAACCCGAGTGCCTGTGATGCTGTGTGATGCCTCCCTTCTGCTTCTACAAGTGCTACTTTTTTTCTTCTGGGCATGAGGGGCCCTAAGTAGATCCCAACATACACACACACACATATCCAGTTCCCCCTCATTTGGAGCATCCCGGCATAAACATGCACGGGTCTCTCGCTTGGGTTCGGTTTGGAAGCCCCGCCTCGAACGGGGCCCGGATGGTCTACTACCGCTTGCTCTGGTTCGTCTCCTTCGTCCTGGCCTTTGCCCCCACGTTGGTGGGGATTGTTAGCTCGTCCTCGTCTCTGCTGTTACCCCCCCCACTGAAAAAATACGTGGCAAACATCCGCAGTGACGTACGTCTCCTGGACTTCCCCCCGAGTCAACTCCAAAGGGTTCGTAGGGAGAATCAATGCGATTTGAGCCAAAATTGTCTCTTTCTTTCTTTCTTGGGGGCGTGGGGTCTTCCTTCCTTCCTTCCTTCCACAGCACATGACCTTCCCGAGGGAAGGCCGCCCCAAGGGGCGCGCTCTAGCGAGTCCGTCGGTGTAAAAGGAAAGAGCGGTGGAAGCAATGTAGCACCAAGACCGGGCGTGGGGTCTCTCTCTCTCTCTCTCTCTTTCTCCAGTTCAGCCTTGTGCAGCATGGACTGGACATCTTCAGCTTTCTCTGCAGCTCCAGAAGTAAAGCCGAAGCCTTTCATGTCGCGGATGTGGTCCTGCGGGCTGTGCTGCAGCAATGCAGTGGCTCATGCAGCAAAGAAGCAATTTTGAAGCTGGCCTGCAACAAAGAGGATTGGGGGGGGTCGATGTTGAGGCTCGGTTGCACTACATCTTCCCAAGTGTCACCCCCGGTCTATAATCTCATCTTGTGTCATCTTGTGACCGTCCACAAGTCTCTTTTTGCCTCTGCAACTGACACAAGTCCCAACCAAGGCGGCCTCCTTCAGTTTCTCATCAAGCTGGCTGAAGGCACCGGAGAAAACAAAGAGCACATGCCTGCATCATTTCGCAAGAGCGTTCTCCGACCTACATACGTTGCTTGAATGTCGGTCTTGTTTGTCTGTTTCTGAGTTCAAATTCCTGATTCTACAATACTTCATTCTGCAACTGCAGGGCTTGGTCCACACGAGGACGTTCAGACTTCAAAGCGAGTCCGGCTCATTGGGCATTCCAACATGTTGAAAAACTGATCCGGCCATCTCGCGACGAACGCCGTCCGCTTGCACCAAAAAAGGCACTCGCTACTGATTGGCATACTTCACCATGCCAAAAACATTTGCAGGCGAGTCTAAAGCAAATGCAAGTGCTCCGAATGGTGTTCAATACTTGAGAGGGAGAGGGCGAGGGAGGAGCGGTAGGGGGTGGCAAGACATCGGTGGCTTGCGTACCACAGGGGTGCACTGTTGTCGGAGACGAACGAGGCCCTCTGCCTTGTTGACATCTTCGTGCCCTTGTCTCCACCCAGCCCGCCCAGAACCAGCCGCGGCCCCTGAGTGCCCACCGTCACCTCGGTGTCCTGCACATGCCACAGATCTATACAGGCAGAGCGAAGCGCTGCGGTCTGGTTCGAATCTATTCACAGCACCATGGTCAGACCCCATCTCTCCTCCATGAGCTTTAGAAAGGTGCTCTGCGTGGCTCGCCTGCTGACATCATCCAACAAAAGAGAATCGCTTACCAACCACGTATTGCCTGTGCACTCGTACCAACATGTGCCAATCAGCTGCAGTGTGGATTGCCTGAAGGAGGAGTTGCGCCCAGCTCCATCGGAGCAGACCTTGTCGATCTCGTCCACATAGACAATGCCCACCTGATAGCAGAAACCCAGCGTGCCAGTCAGCTGCACCAGGTGCACAAAGGCAACGACTAGGTGTTTGTGTCTCGGTTGGGGAGCCGCATGTTTGCCAGAAGCTCGGCAATCAAGCGCACACGGCAAACCTTCGCTGTACTCCCTGAAAGCACTAGTGACGTTTGGATGGTCTGCTAGAGTGTCGTCTCTCCCTTCTATTCTGCTTTACATGCTTGATGGCAAGAAGAAGTGAAACTCAAGCAAAAGTAGCAGTTTCGATGTAAAGCGAAAGGCCAACAAACAAGAAACCGGCTTTAGTAAGGGTTGTACCGTTCTCAGCTGCCACCGCAGAGACTGACTCAGAACAGCGAAACCAAAAAACATGAGCACCGTTTCATCGCCAAAAGCAGTATCAGGCGGTCTGAAGACCCCAAGCCCAAGGTTTTGCACGGATCGGTCAAGCACGTTGGGCCAGTGCTCCCCACGCCCAATGTGCGCAATGTGTGGCAATGCTCTGGATTCCCAGAGCTCCACCTGGGCAAGCTCAACATCTCCGTCTGCAGCTTGAAGCAGTTCGCCCATCACCTCCGGAACAATATCGGAAGCAACCGGAAGTTTTTGGGGACATTTGGGGACTGCGGGCGGCACGATGGCGACAGCTACTCGGCTCCATATCCTAGTCGACAAGACCTGATCCTCACAGCCGCAGCCGATTCTTTCAATAAGAACCCTTGAAATGCCCTTGCGAACTTTCCGGCCCAAGCATAGGGATTATCGACGGATGCCGTTGGCAAATTAGTTGCATGGGCAGAGGCGTCATCTTGACTACGGGTAGTTTTGCGACAAGTGACAAGTGAGTGCCCGCGTCTTGGCTGGTCTGAGTTTCGTGGGCTTAGAGATCCCTGAACTTGGATGTTAAAGTTCGATGACAAAAAGGAGCGCCTCGTCAGCGTCACGTCCGACGTAGCCAGTCTCAGTGAATTTGGTGGCCTTGTCGGAAAGGAAGAAACTACCGAACATGTACACCGGTACGCTTCAACATGCTTCTTGTCCGGTCCATTGTGCTACTCTTCTTGCCCGTGAGTCCGCTCAAGGGCGGTAAATCCGCGAACGTGCGGAGCTTAAGCTTGCACTTGCGTCCAAGCATGGCGCCATGACGGAGGAGCCATCTCAGGCCACGACGTCCGCTTTCACGAAAGGCACCCCAATCAGATCCTAAGGCATGACCAGCAGGAAGCTCAGCTCAAAACGCAGATATCTTTCGGAAATCAGAGGAGAGGGCGAATGGCTGGGGCAGCCTTTGGGCAAAAGACTTAATCATTGTTAAGCCCCACGTCCACCTGGCTTGTTTGTAGGTAACGCTTTTCGCATTGCTTGGTGAGGGACCGAACCCGTCGCTCTCTCTCTGACCTCTTCTTCCAGGCTTGCATGCCTGTCCTACTGCACCATCGCTTGCTGTAGCAGTTTTTGCATATTCAGATGCAAACGGAGCAATATGGAACGACCATGCGCATCAGTTGTCGGGCCATGGACAGGACAGCACAAATTCACTACAACCCTGAACGGAAAAGATCGACCTCGTAGCCGGCCCTCCAAGTGGTGTCAAAGTTCAAACGTTCATAACCAAGTGCAAACAAGCAGCAGCCAAGTTCCTCAGCAAATATGTTTTCCCACTGCCGGTCGGACCCAGCAACAGGATGTTCGGCTTTGTGTAGTTCTTTACCTGGCAATTGCACCCTCGAAAGGTGCACAGCGGTCTGTCCACCGCCGTTTCCGTTTCTGAAGCTCATGCCATTCAGGGCACAAGACTTAAGGTCCGGGCACGCTTGGGCTTCAGTAGCGTAGCTCGTGAGGCACTAGCGAAAAGCTTCGCCACTTGACCGTCGATTTCTTGGATGTCTTCCGCATCTTCGAAGCGGCCTTCACCGGAATCATCCCGGTATGTTCGCTTCTCCATGTCGATCTCGAAGCGTTCCACATGCTCCAGCTCGAGCTCCCCGTTTACGTATTCCGCAACGTGGTCATCCTCAACCTGGAGCAGGATTACCTGCAAGGCGGGTGACGCAGCGGAAGGTGCTAGACCGGGAATGCTCATGATCTCAATACGATCAAGCTGCATCTCCATCAGTATCAGTGAATTGAACTTTGCCCCCATCGCTGCTGGGGTCCTGTGCGCCTCGGGACAAGGGGACGGCTACGGCGGCGACTGATCCACTGATTTCGCAACGGCACCAAGGGACTGACAGCAAAAGGTATCGCAAGAGAGCTTCAATTCCAGGCCTGCCACTGACTCTGCCTCTGCATCAGTAGAACTTTGCCTCACATTCGGTTGTAGGCCGCAGACCATGCTCAACAAATGGAGTCCTGCTAGTACATGTTCTTATTGTAGCACAGCAGCTCTGAAACTGCTGCGTCAGCCGAATCCGCGTGTTCGACTTTGGCTTCCGTGGCCTCAGCAGCCTGAGACGTGTAGAATCAATGTAGATGTGGCAGGTAGCACTATATGGTAGCGGCATGCATACCACCAACCAGCCTTGGAAGGCGCAGATTCAAGCGATTCCTCGGCAATTGACTCACCTTCCGCCTGGGAAGCTTGCGAAGGTGCCTCCAGATGCAAATGATGGCATCATTGCATGCTACACCCGGCTACAGTCTGACAGAGACCCAGCAAGCAAATCCAATCACGGCCTCAGCCGCAGCGGCTGTCGCTTCCGCTGTCGCTTCCGCTGTCACTTCTGCTGTCGCTTCCGCTGTTGCTTCTGTTGTCGCTTCAGCTGTCGCTTCTTCTGGCCGATTTTGTTCCAGCCTCTCCTTGCGAAGCGACGCACAAGACAAAGCTCAGTAAGGGGTAGTGGCAGCTTCGCTTGACGTTTTTTCCTTCTCTGGATCTTGCACTTCAGCAGCACCAAAGACAACAAGGTCTCCCTTACTTACACTGCTCTGTTCGAACCCCTCACCTTAGCAGGCTCCACCGGAACTTCGGCGTCAAATGCGAGCTCTTCCTCACTGCAAGCTCTTCGCACTGGAATCACTGGAGTGTAGTAGAGACTTGCTACCAGTAGAGATCAGCAAAGAGTTTGCAGAGGCAAAACAGGAGACCCAGCCAACCGGGCACAGCTGAGGATTCTTTAAATATTTGGCATTCGCTTAAAGATGGCTTCGCTATAGGGTAGTTATACCACAATTTACACACGCACAGCGCAGGCCGAAAAGGGAAGAAGTATGAGGAAATCGCTCCTTGGCGCGATTGTAATGATCGCATATTGCGACCGAAAGCATCTCTTTCGCAGCCGTTTGGCAAATAACGTAGCGATCCTGAGCAGCTGAAGGTACTCAACAGCTTGCATTTACCGCTCTGTCCTGTGAGTACCAGGCTGCTTGATGCACAACAACGTAGCATTGTTCTTGTGTGTTCACGTCGCCTTTCCTCACCCAGAACGTGGCGCTTTGCCCTAATGGTTGTATGGGACCAGTTTGGAAACCTGTTGCATTGAGCATGCGGCCCTGCCGCTTGAAGATCAATGGCAGAAGCCCATTCATTCTGCAAGGAGTAACAATACTTTTCGCACTTCCCTTCTTAATGCATCCCTTAACCCAAGTGTTCTCATCCCAGAAGCCAGGTATGTCTTGACTTCGTCCGGGCGAAAAGAGAATCTCTGCAGTATCTCCTTGCGCTTGCTCCCCTTGGACTGGCTCTGGGACGAATTCCTGCCAAGATCTGCAAGGTTGAATCAAAAGCAGCGCATACTCGCCGCCAGAACATGCCGAACGGCCAGAACTTAAACTGGCTTGAAAATGCTTTGAAGACATCTCCCAAGGAGCCTCTGTGAGCCAGCCTGTTGCGTCAAACGTCGCAGCAAGAACTTGCGCAGATCTGCGGGCGAGGTGATGTCAGGCATATCTGCGGAATCCTGCAAGGCTGAAACCCTACCACGCCTACTGACTCTCAGCTGACAGAAAGCTCGAGTGAAAAACTTGGCAAGACCACAGAGATCCTCAGTAGAGTCACCACTCTCGATGGAGCCATCTTCGCTGAAGACGAGGATGCCTGGATTTGAGCCATCCGAGGGGAGCTCGCCCTTCACGTGCGACCACCACTCGTGGTAACACTCAGGAAGGGCTTGAAGGACAAAACTCCCATCTGGGGTGTTCTCATGGGTCACCGAGCCTTGGATGCTCAAAGCCTCCAGTCTGCCTCGGAGGACCGTGGCGCTGTCTTCGAGGATGAGATACGAAGCTTCTCCTGATCTGGCAACTTTGGCCTCGAAGGGACCTTTGAATCCCAGGCCTCTGGACCGCCACCGCCCTCTGCTACTGGTGGTAAACTCCACCTCCAAGTCAATCTTGTTTCCTTGGGTAAGCTGCGGGTGCTGTATCCACCCAATAAGAATGTCGGAAGCTCGTGGATGCTGGCGCCACCAGTGCTTCGCTTCTTCATCAGCTTCCTTGCCTGCTGTCCACCCAAAGAAACTTCTGCGAGCAGCTCCACGTCGCTTTTTCAGAGCGCTGAACGAACCGGCCAACACGGCAGGCATCGAAAGTCTCGAAAGTCTCGAAAGGAGTGGGGAAGCCGGCGAAGTCTGGGGCCTGCGCTCCCTGCGCTCGCTGCGCAGGCCGAGGCAAACGCTCGGAAAGGACGAGCCCTGGGGCACTCTTAGAGGAGCCCCCGAGAATGCCCCCAAGGGCACCGAGCAATGCCGGGCTTTGCTTATCGGAGCTGGCCGGAGAATAGGAGTCTCCAGCGCAGCCGTCATGGCCCGTGGTTGGATCAGACTAAGATGAATACTGACACTGCGACACCGACTTTGGGAGAGCGCTGGCTCTTTACCTCTTCTCCCGCGTCTGTGCACTGGTAGCTATACTGGATTGCATCAGCCGTATTGACTCAAGACTCCTTGAGCCGAACATGTGCCATTGGTGTGTTGGTGTGCAGTATCCTGTGTGTTGGATTGGCGTTCTGCCACAGCGATCCCGTCTGGATCGCTTGCCCTCTTTCAACGTGACCCACCGGGCAGAAAGCACTTGCAGGAAGTTGTCGCGCTCTCGTGCTTGAGATGCACCAGAAGCTTGCCGAAAAACAGCTCTTGGCGTGCAATCCTTTTCTTCTATCGCAGCCTCAGCCTGATGTGCACACGCTCCAAAGTAGTGCAGGGACTTTCCAACCGTGTGCAAGTGGCTATTGAATCGACCCCACAAAAGGTATATGGTATGCATGACTTTGATTGTACATTGCCAGCTGCTCGAACGACCGTGCGAGTTCTTCGTGGCTGCATGGCCATGGTTCTACTGCGGGAAGAAAGCCGGCGCCGTCTTCTCAGACGGGAATGTTCTCGGTTCGCTTGAAAGCGTCCTGGTCAATCCTGCACCAAAAACCAGTCGACTGGAACTGGAAATTCAAGGCAAAGGACATGTGACCTGAGAGCGGACCCTAGATCGCTTTGTGACAGGCGTGTTCTGCGTACATAAACTCCAAGCGTCCTCTTGATCATGGCCTTCAACTGCTTCAGCGGGCCCACCTCGTAGAAGTCCTTCACCTACGCAGCAGAAACGAATTCAAGACAATCAGAAGCAAACAGTTAGGTGAGCGGAGCGTTCCCGCGCATGGTACGGCATGCAGGTACACAAGCAACGACATGCAGAAAACATCGGCGGACGTGGGGGTTTTCAACACTTCCTGAGAGTTATGTCGTTGTCGTGGGGGGGAATCTATAGATTGTATTTTCGGGGTCTGGCAAACCCGGGTTTAAGGTTTGGTGTGTAGGGTTTCGGTCTTTATGAGAAAGTTGGTGTTCGTCCTGTTTTGGGTTTTCGTGTTGCACTGCTTCAGACCTGTTGCAGTGCACCGCTTTTGGATGTTTGGGCTGCGCCTTGGGTCTTCCAGGTTCTGGGCTTCAGACTTGACTCGGGCTTTTCAAGTGCACTGCTTCGGGTTTGGCGAAGGGTCTGGGTTTGGGGTCCTTTCCGGCCTCTTTTTTCGGTGCACCGCTTTGGACTCGCACTGCTGGTCTTTTGGGATGCGTGCTTTGGGTCTCTGGGATGCACTTCCCTTGGGTCTCTTGGGTTGCGCTGCTGCGGGCTGGGGTTGCACTCTTTTTGGGGTTTCTGGGGGTTTCTGGGGGTAGCTGAAGCCCTGGAAGTGCATGGATCCACCCCTCATTCCCAAACCTCCAAAAACCTGAAATGTGCACCCTCTTTCCCCCGCAAAAAAAACAATTAAACAACAAAAACTGAACCTGAGCAGAAGACCACACGCGCAAGAACCCGCCGCAGTCCAGCAAGGCAAGGGCATGCAAGGGCAGGTTTCAAAATAGCGGGCATATGACTTCTCAGGATCGCTCAGGCGTCGGCCCCGTCGAACACCATCTGCTTCACCGTCTGCTCCCAGAGGACTTCACCTGTGAGCTGCCTGGGAAGGCAGATGCAAAAGAAGCACAAGAAGCGATTGCAGCAGCAGCATACGCATGCCTTGCGAACTGTCGTATGCGGTCGTCAACCCCAAACTCACATTGTCTCTGTTGGCTTAAAGCTCACACATCTTTCTGGATCCTGCTGCAAAAGTCTGCTGTGCCAAACCAACTGTCTGAGAGGATATCATGGACTGCGGATTCTGCAGCTGGGCACCAGACTTCTTCATGTAGTCAACGAACTCCGATGGCTTCGTTCCTCTCAGACCGACATTATCTCGCAGGCCTTTCATCTAGACTCGACTGCAAGCAAGAGTTTTCAGATAAGATTCCAGAGCTGCATCCATGTTTAATCACAACAGTTGTTGTTTGCCACGGGCCCATGGTGCTGCCACTGCGACGGCTTGTCCGCTACCGAGGGCAGTAGCTCAGGAACCCTGCATCTACGAGTCATACATCCTCATCGATCCGAAGGCGAAAAACATAAACCTGTGACACGCCTGTGACATGCCTGCGTCTTTCCTTCCAGAGTTGTGAAATCTTGTACACCTAAGGTTTCGCGTCTCGAACCACGATCCGCTAGCCAGCCTTGCCTGGTGGCATTTTTTTGCCGGTCAGGTTGAAGTACACGGAGCACCTGCCAGCACATCCAACGAGAACTTCTTGCTTATAAAGGGTTCGTTGACAGTAGTGGCGGCCTCGGAGCCTTCATCTTGGGGAGCGTTGCATCGATCGCCTTCGACAGCTCCTGGCGGATCTTGAGAGTCCGGCGGATAGCAAGACGGACCGGAAACAGCCTGCGTCTTCTAAGTCGAAAGAACGCTGTAGCTTGACGGTACGTGACGTCGCAACAACCTACATAAACCTGCCTACAGAAGTGCATGATGGTGTATGTTCACATTGTGGCAGGGATTTCTGATTTAGGCGAGCATGGACTGCTGTCAGCAAAGGCAGCTGAGGTGGACAAGTCTTGACAGCAGGTGGCAAGCAGACCCGTAGTCCTCCTGAGCTGGCGCCATAAGAGGCGTGTGGAACCCACCGCCAGTCTGGCAAATCAAAGCTGGAAAACAAAAGCTTCACGCCGATACGTCATTGACATGTCGCAGGCCTTGACCGCACGAGCCTGCAAAGCTCGTGCCTGGTGCCCAGCAAAAGGTGGAGGTGGCAACGACTACATATGCTCTGCAGTGGCTACAATTTTTGTCTCTCACTTGACACATGTACGTATGACTCAATATGACCATGACATGACCAGGTGCCTTCATCGCCAATTCGCATAGCTTTTCAATGGCAGGCTTTGTGCCACCACAGGTGAAGCCAGCCGGAAACAGAACGTTGGCAACCTGACCTGCGCAACACTTGAGCCTTGACATATCTAGAGTCTTTTGGAGTCTTTCGGAGTCTTTTTGAGGCTTTTTGAAGCATTTTGAGGCTTTTGAAGGGCAACTGACTTTCTTGACTGGCCATGGGGGCTTGGATCGCGGCATACAGGCGAGGGCGAGCTCGTGTCCAGCTCCTTGGCCTCTTTGCCTTGGTCAGGGCACTGCTCAAATAAAGAGCAGTTAAGAGAGGCAGCTCGCCCCGCTACAAACCTTTGTCCCTTCTAGCCAAATCATGTGCATGCTTGTACCTGCCTTGTCACAAGGGAGGGGAGGGGGTGCAGAGCCCAGCCCATAATAGTTGCGCACTGCAAGTGGGAAGTGGCTCGGGACTGATTCGAGGCTCTGACACAGGCGGTCGACGGTGGTTCTGTCCAGGCCAGCCACTGAACACATGGCTTGCCTAGGCAGTAGGGTGGTGGCAGGTCTCGCACTGGTGCATCACATCGGAGTGCCGGATGGGCAACACGCAAGGGCAAGGCGGTACCAGCTCGGTGGCTTTCTGCATGGCCTCCGCACGCAACCTCACCAGCTCCAAGCCTCAGGGCCGCATCTCAGCAGATCGCAGCACATGGCAACACTGCAGTTGAGTAGGTGAGTACATGTGAGTACATGTAGTTACATGTGAGTACATGTAAAAAAAGAAAACGGCGAATACTCGTGCCGGATGCCGAAGGGCAATCGCCAAAAAAAGTCCCAACTGCTCAGGAGCCATTCCGAGCTTCGAGCCATCTTCGAACTCCAGCACGCCGGCGGCACCTCGGAATCGGAAGGAAAGGAAAGACATGCCTGGCCTCAACCGCGCGAGCTTGCATTGAGCAAGGCACAAAGGGCGGTGTACTCGCCAAGACTCAAGCCAGCCACAGCCTAGAAAGTCGCAAAAAAGGAGCACAAAAACCAAATTCTTCTGGAAGAAGGCAGATTTCTCCGTCCTGTACTCGGTCCACCATCTCTCGTTTCCTGAGTCGTGGTGAGCCGAGATCAACACCCTCATTGACTACTCAGTGTGACCGCCGCTTGGGGTCTCCCAGGCGCAGGCGTCTGCTTCATAAGCTCGATGCCGGCGAGTCCTGCAATGAACCTCACGACCACGGCAAGAACTCAGTTCGAATGCCTGAACGTAGTAGAATATGTAGAATGAGGAAGCAGCATGATGGGCTGGCAATACTTGGTCTGCTCCATCTGTTCCTGCCACGCCGCGACAAGATTCCCAAACCGCCGGTGCCACATGAACGGAGGCTTGCGACAAGTACGTGAGAAAGTGCTTGCGAAGCTGAAGCTGTCTAAAGCCACCTGGGGTCCATCCAGACACAGCTTCTTGACGCTCCAGCCGAGAACGCTCTCTGCCTTCTCCAGCCTCGGCCAGCTTCCAGCAGGCTCTGCGACATACTGATACCAAGTACATCCAAGTCTTCATCCTGTCATGTAGCACCCACAAAAAGCTTTGAAACTCTTGGGGCACGGCATCTTCTCCACTGCTGGGATGTCCAGGCAGGACTTGAGCATGCCCACATACTGCGAGCCCTGCATGAGCAACGTGAGTGCGAGCATCTGCAATGGTTGGCCAAACCTGAGGACCACTGAGGACCCGGAGCGCCTGTCCGGGAAAAAGCATTGCCACCGGCAGGGGCGGCTTGCTTTTGGCGGGCGGACGCGGAATCGTTGAGCGAGGCCTCTGCCCAGTCTACGCGACGCAGGCGCAGGGGAATCAATCGGACAGAATGCCAGGCAGCCGGCAGGTCCATCTTCGCCCAAAGTTCCTGCAGGGGTGTGCATTCGATGGAACGTGCATCCTGCCGTAGAGATCTGTAGAGCTACAGCGCACGTCGCTCGCTGCATTCGCTGCCTCCGCCGTCGGCAGAGGATACGGGTCGGGAAAATCACCAGTTTTGTACCTCAGACGACAGACGAACAGGAGGGAAGGAGCACGTGCTTAAGAGTCCCAAGAAAATAGCAACAATCAAAGAAACTTCCTGCTCGAGAGAAGCATGTGCTTCCGCTGCTTTGCTTTGTTCTTGTCTAGCCAGTCCTCCGCGTAGGAGTCCAAGCCTGACCACCGGTCTGCTTTGCTTTGCTTTGCTCTTGGCGCCTCTGAATGCTGCTCCGGGATCGGAGCCCTCAAAGCGCCACTTCTTCAGTTTGTACTCCTGCATTGCAAGGCGAGACTCGGCTCATTTTGAAACTTTCGGGACTCTTTACGCGCTTCCATGGAAGGCTTCCCCGAAGGCACCTGTGCTTGCTGATTTTTCTTCTCTGTGAGCTCGCCCTTGATAGCAGCCTCGATGTCAAGTGCAGGCTGGGAGCAGCTACACGATTTCTGGACTCACCGAAAGAGGAAACGCTTTTGTCCTCCGATCGCTGCTTCTCCCTGTGCTCTCCGGCAAACGAAGGGTTTGGAGACCGGCTTTGCTAACTGCAGTGATAAATCGGCCACTCGGTACCGCCAAAACAGACGTTGGGCTGACGGTGGTCGGAGGAGTGCCAAAACTACCAAGCTATATTTCATCCTGTTGAGACTTACTAAGACATCGCCTGCTCTGGACGCTGGAGGGGCCCCATACCTAGACTCAGCAGTCCTGATCCTCTGGGACGCCACATGGAGGCACTGGACTCTCCGGGAGTGGGCAATAGCTGTCTCTCTGGAAATGTCTGGAAGAGGCAGGGGGGCAAAGTTTTGGGAGTCTTTGGCGGAAAAAGGTTTAAAAAGAAAAAAAGAGCCGGCCCGGTAGACTCTGGCGAGGAGCACGGGAGACCCGGACAAGGAGAACAGCTGAGTCAAGATCTAGCAATCCAAAGGAAGCCCACACCGAAGGTGCAGAATTAATGGCCTCGAGCCATTCCATTTCCACCCCATCATTGCGGTTGTTGACGTGGATTAACCTTAACATCATGGACCAAGACACGAGACAGACACCCAGTCACGAAAGATGCGCTGGGAACAACTCGCCAGGTGGCTGCTGCGGTGTGTAGCCATTCAGGTCAGGGGTCGTTGTATCTGCACCATGCTCCACGAGCCACTGCAAACACCTCACATTGCGTGAAGCATTGCAATCGTGCTGCCAGCCGGTTGCTTCTGTCGCAGCTCTTCAGCTCTGCACCAAGATGTTCCGTACCGGACTGCATACCACGCAGGCCTGAGACTTGCGAGAACTTTGATCTCACACGCAGTCACACCATAGTATGTGTGTGTGTCCGGTTAAACAGGTGGCAAATATGGGTGGCAAACATGACAACAAAAAAAACGCCCTTGCTTCCCAGGCACGTCTCGCCGTTGAACGTTTGAGCACTGAGTTCCTGTTCGGTGCAGGCCTGCGCGTGCCAGCATCCAACCAGGACAATGGCTTACAACTCAGCAGAAGCAGAAGCCTTCAGCATGTCCATGTTTCCATACATGCATGCCTCGGAACTGGGGCAGCACAGCATGAAGGAGTCTTTAACAGGCAACAGGCAACAAGCTCTTTGCAACCTGGTGGCAATGTGGGCTGGGCCCCAGCCAAGGAAGTTTGTCAAACCATCCAACCTGGATGGCTTCATCTTGACTAGCCATGCTTGCTGGTTGTCGACAAGTGCAAAGGCTTGTGGTACAGCCCCCTGCCCATTCGGGTTCATAGTATCGAGAGTGAACGTATTGTATTGCTAACCGTCTTACCGGCCCAAAATGGCGCAAACTTCCGGAACCATTTGACACACGGTTTCGAATGCCAGGGGTGCGTGTCCTATGCTACTATCTGCAGCTAGGAACAATACTGCACACTCACCCGAGGACCCGCACGTGCCGTTAAGGCAGGCGTAGGCGTAGGCATCAGCCTTAGCAGAATCACAGAAAGCATGCTGAAAGGCGAAACTCTGACTGCCTTGGCGCATCTGGGAAGGGCACGCCAATGGTGATACCGCTGAATGGATGTGAGAGAGGATGCTTCACCTGAGTTCACAGAACATAACGCATACCGAACCACAACAGAGAAACTCTTGGTCGCGGCACCCACTTCGGTAGCCGGTATGCATCAAACTTTTTGTGTCCAGGCCTGTCACCATGCCGTGAGGTGGGCCACACAGCTCTGAAGTTGTGTGGAAGTGTGTCTCGCAGCCTATTCTCAGCCATTCCTTCCACATGCTGGCTGTAGTTGAGGTCCCAAGACCTCAGCACTGCTGGCAGTGATGGCTGCACTTTGTCCAGCTGTCTCTGACCATACTGCGCGCATCTTGTCAGAACCCCTGTAGCCACACTGAGCTGCCGGCTCGCCATCTTCTTCATAAGGCATGCTTGGGACACCTGCACCACAAGTCGTGAAAACCGCTTTTTCCAAATGCGTGAGGACATTCTGAGGTCACAGCGCGAGCCGGAGACCGGCTTCTAGGTTCCCCGAGCCAATAAGTGGCTCTCGTGCACATGCATAGACTGAAGAAAATCGTGTGAAACGAACGAAGAGATGTCTCAAACATTTTGCACAGATGACGAACGCAGATCGGCTTCGGCTTCGTGACATGTCGCAGCGGATGTAGCAAAGGTGCCGCTCCCAGGGTGTCTTGTTTTCACATGCGTTCACTCCGCTGACTGCCTCCCCTCCACTGCTCCACTGGCGTCCTCAAGAGAACCGTCGTTCAACCGGGTGTTCCGGTATCTTGCTCCAGCACCTTGAAGCTCTGATTCGACTCCTTCGGGTCGTCTGCACCTGAACTTGGTGGAGTTTGTTTGCCGGCCTTTCTTTGTTGCCGTCTGTTCTCCGGCTTTCGTTTTTTGCTCTTCCGTGTTTTCTTTCCTGCCAAAAACTACTACAAAACAGGTAGCTCCGACTCAGAGATCGGCAGGGATGATCCCACACACTTACTAACCGTTACTAACCGCCACCCTGATCTCCAGCACCAGAAAACCAACCTAACACTCCACATTTTCGATATGTTTGGGATCACCCCGCCACGGTGTTGCGTGGTTAGTTTGGCAGCTTAGTTTCGAATGGCTGGGGACTGGTTAGGGTCTGAAAAAGGCGAACATGCTCAAGGAGAAAACTATGCATTCGGGGTTGGAAGGTGTGAGCTGCGAAATGGGATCTGAGGGAGTACTGACATCCAGCAGAGTGCTGAAACGAGTATAAGGCCTCCTTCTCTTCCTGGCCGAACATGCCCGTCCTGACGCAGGAATGGTCATGCAGACTTGCAAAGCATGGCACAACATAGAACATTGCAAAACCGTCCGAAAGATCTCATGCATGAGCCTGCTCAGGGTCTCAGTGGCGGTCGCGACGAAGGCTTCGGAACTGGCTTGGGCGGGCGAGCCTCCAGCAGGTGCCAGCACGCTGCTGCAACTTGTGCTTGGCAATTGCTTGGCAAGTGCTTGGCAAGTGCTTGGAAATCTAAGCCGTGAAAGAGCTGAGGGCCTTTGGGAGGAGCCCTTCCGAAGGTGGAGCGTTTGCTGCAACCGGAGGATCCTGCCACGTCTTCTCAACAGCTGTGGCACGGTCGTGTGCTCAAAAGTCTTCCAACACGTCCTTCCAGATGCCCCCAACAGCCTTGGAGCGTGGACCTTGCTACATTTCTGCAACGAATACTCTCGGAACCTGCTCGCAGGCTTCAACGGACGAGCCTGCATTCGTCCTCATCCCCTTGCTGCTCAGAAGAGAAAGTGCAGCCTCGGGCAGATCGAGCCCAATGCAGACCCTGATGTCAGCTGATGTGCTCATGTGGCCTCCAAGTCCGCAAGCGACACAGGCTGGCCCGGATTGTCGCCGTTGCCTCTTTCTCTGTGTCGCGACCTGGACCAGCCACAGAACGTGGCACACGCCTGCCATGCTGCAGTGCTGCGATGGCCTGCTGCGCTCGACAAACCTGTGCCAAGACGCGCCAAGCAGCCCCTCTGGAATGCACATGTCACATGTCTATTGACGAAAGCCTTGTTCCGCTCAGGTTGTCCACGGAGTCTGCAGGTCTTCTCCTGACCACCACGCGACGAATGCAAATGGTCGCAAACCCTCTCGTTGGGTTGCAGTTGCTCGACGTTGCTCGGATCCTCTCCAAATCACGGCGATGGTGATTGCCACGGCTTTCACGGCCTCCTGTCTTCCAGGCCGCTTCCTTCAAAACAAAGGACAAGGCCTCCAAAGCGTGGACCTTCTTGTCTTCCATCACTTCCATCTCTTCGCCGCCGACTCAACGCCTTCGCATCATCTCACATCACTGCTGCCCGAAGCAGCAAGCCAGCAATCCCTGACTTGGAAGAAAAGATGTACATATGAAGAATGCTTGTTTGCGTGTCAGGGCAAAACTCACTGACATTGTTGAGGAGATCTCCGGATCTGTGAGGGGTTCGGGGAGTTGGGGCATTGACAACTTGTTATGAAGTCGGAGATGATCGGATGACGCTCTTCGAGGCAAGCATTGACATCCGCGAAGTCGCGTCGTTGTGTTTGGGCGTCTCTGTTCGTTCCACGTGCACACATCATCACACATCCACCGGTTCGGTGCCCGCGCGTTAGCATGTCCACATGTGCGGGAGTCCACAAGCTCTGTTGGTGTGTCCGTGTTTTCAGCACATTCGTGTTTATACGCAAATCTGCGTCTTCGTGCGGTCGCCGCGTCCCCGCGACCCACGCTATGTTTTCGCGTGTGGTGTGTTCCGTCCGCGGCCGCTCACGCTGCGACTTGCACCATTACATGGCGCCAGCGGTGTTGCATGGCCGTCCTGAACCACTACTGAATTCGATAGAACGAAGGACGGGCTCCGCTAACTTTCGTGACTTGGCACATCTGTCAGGAGTCTTCCCACTCGTTCCGAGCCATTCTGGAGATTCAGAGGGCGCTCTCAGCCATGGTTCCTGAGGTGAAATTTTCTTCTAGTCTCTGACCGTCTGAGGGGCCGCCTCCCTTGCATCCGTCTTGGAGGAACGCCTTGTCGAGAAATCAGGTTGCGCACGTGTTTCATCTGAACAAGCACATTCTTGGTGCAAAGTGTCGAGCCTGTCACGCGCACCGTCGCGCACACTTCCCTGGCGGTCCTGAGGCAATGGCTGAACTACAACATGCAGACCTGAAGATCTGGCAGCGAACTGACGGAGCCCACCTCGTGTCGAGCACCCCGTCGATCTTCCGACAGACGGCTACGGTGGCTGCGAGGGCGAGGGTTGTCGTACCTCCTGCCAAGGGTGTCCTCTCCGCGCCGATCGTATTCTGAGCGTCGCCGGTCATCATGCCTGCACATTTTTGACAATCCTTGCACAGGACTTGAAGATTTGCAACTTCCTTACCAGCCACGACCCTAGGTTGGGCAGCTCAGCATTTCCTGTTTCACTACAATCGACGGTTCTGCGCGCCTCCCAGACAGTCGGACAGGCTCTCTCCTAACACACAAGCGTGCAGACGCAAGGCAGGGCTACGAAACTACGAAACTACGAAACTACAATCATTCTCTCATCACACAAAAAGTCTTCTGAAGTCCGAGCCTGGCCTGGATCTGCCGCGGCTCCTCTCAGAGGCTGACAGCCTGCATCGGACTGGAGCAGGGCGAAAAGCAGGAACTGCAGTGCTCGTCAGTGCTCCTGCCTACAAGATCTGCGTTCTCCGCTCCTTCTTCGTAGAAGTGGCGCAGAACTCCTGCAAGCATTTGGTTTCGGCTAGCCCTGGGACCATCTCGGCATTATACGGCATTCTGTAGCGGCAACGATTGTGCATCATGGCTCAACAGCTTGGCGGTCTCCTCCTTTCCCGGCCCTCACGCACCGGAAACTTTCGTCTGTCACCTGAGAAAGTCTTTATGCCCCCTTTATGCCCCTCTTTATGCCCTCCCCACTGCTCTATGATGTGATCCTGCAGTCACGAAACCATAGCACTCAAAATCCAGCACACCACGAGTAACTTTGGAGAAAACGTCAGAAGACCTGCTTCATGCAACCGGAGAGGGCGTCTAGGGCGAGGTGCCTGGAGCTGAAGGAGCACGAGACGGCAACAGCAGTGCAAGAGCGGGGCCAATGGAATTCTGGGCACCTGAGGCCTCTACTGCACGTGGCGGTGCTCGCGGTGCTTCTTTCTCGCGCCCTGACAGAGCGTTGCAGCGTTGCTCTGTGAATTCACCAGCCTTAGAGTCCGCCAGCCTCGATCCAGACTCCTGCTTCAAGCACCCAGCTGCATCTGCAGTAGCCATCAATAGCCCATGCCACAGCACCACAAGTGCCTTCTTCCGGCATCGCCAGCTTCTTGTGCGCTGCGAACTTCAAGGCACCTCCAAGTAAGCGTGTCAATAAGCCTTTCGTGTGCATGAGCTGTTCAGCTTGCCGGCTCCGTACTGCCAACAACAGAAGACACCCTCAGCAAAAGACAGCACGCCATGAGAACAAAAAAAAGAGAGAAAAGAACACAACGGGCACAACGTACAGGGACCGAGGCTCAGGGTTCACTTGCATGTTGAGTGAGGGCTGCGTAGCGGCGTGAATCGGCACATGGTAGTTTGGTGAGAAGGTCTGGCAGCTCCACTTGACGCCAAGCCTGGGTTGCTCGGGCTCAACATCTGCATCGAGACAGCGGCTTGATGACACCTGACAAGGAAGAGAGCCAGGCTCCCTTGCCTCTGCTTTCTGCTTTCTGGCGCGTCGTTCTTATTGGTTTTCGCCTTTTCGGAAGGTTGGGTTCGAGGGTTTCGGCTTTTAAGGTCGGGGCTTGTAGAGTTCCAGCGTTCAGGCATTCAGGTTTAGTTTGAGGGTTTTGGGGCTTTTGGGTTGTAGGGCTGTCAGGTTTGGAGTTGAGGTGTTTAGGGTTTGCGGGTTTTTGGGTGTAGAGGGTTTAGGATGAATGTTTCTTCTTGCCTTTTTTCTTTCAACTTTCCTCTCTATCCAGAGACCCCATGACCAAAAATCAAACAAGAAGCACCCAACAAACTACGGTGCCCGTTCTTGCAGCTGCTCACTAGACATCACAACGTGCAGCTCCGGCTCTAGGGCAGCCTCGTTCGATACCCTGAGCTTCACGAGATCGCAGGACTCGTCCTGCAGACGGCTGCCCGTCTCTGGACTCTGCACTCAACTTCAAGTTCAACTTTTTTATCCGCCGACCCCGCTGTCGGCGTTTGTGAAATCCCGAAGGGTTCCTGTGCCAGTCATGCACCCGCGCTGCCATGCCCAAACGCCCGCTGCTCCCCCGCCCCCCCCGCCCCCCCGCCAACCCTGCGCCTTCAAAAGAAATCTTTTAAGGGCTCCCATGCATGATGCATGCCCAAACCCCCGCATTTCCCTGCTCGAGACTAGTCCCTACTACAACCAGAACCCCGACACCGCAACCA